GAGGGCTTGGAGGGCAGTGGAATGGGGAAAAAAATAAGAACCAAGAGAGATTATGTAAAGGTGCAAATTTCCAATAATGAATGTCATTATATTGTATACCTAAAATGTACCAATAAAATAAAATTAAAAAAATAAAATCCACACTAATTCCTTAGTATTATGAAGTATCCAGACAGGGCTCAAATTTCTTGAATTGCCTATAATTTTTCCTTTCAGTTTGTTTCAACTGGGATCCAGATGAGGTCTTTATGCCAGGATGGATTAAAATCTCTTACCAATCCTTTCAGCCTGCACAATCCCGCACCCTTTCTATTTTGTTTCTTGGATTTGTGTGCATAAATGAAAAAGCAAGTAACTGGCTCCGGATTTGGCAGACTGCATCTCTACAGGGCTATTTAACATGGTCTTTCCTCCTGTGTGTGTTCTACTTGGATTTCAAAAGCCTGATCGGTTTCAGGTTCGATTTTTCATTAGTGGTTTGTGTTTCCTTCCTTTTTTATCAGATAATTTGAGTAGCTTCCCACCAGCCTCTCTCAACCCTCCCCGCCCCGCTCCCCAATCCACAGGAGAGGATGCCACAGGAATCCACAGGAAACAAAGAGGTCCAAAACGTTAACAACTCCCCCTTGCCTAGAAACTAAAATACAAACCCTCCTGAGTTGCAATTATTAAATGGCTGATGTAAATAAGAAAAGAAACATCACGTTAAAGCTCATCCTAGTAAATTCATACCCAGGACTTTGGAAAGGGCCTCACTTTCAAGTATGTTTCAGCCACAAGCATGGGAGGGTCTCCTCACTTCCTTAGCAGTTCCTAATCATGCCGGGAAGAGGAATGAATAGAAACCAGGGGCCTGTGCTGCACAAAGGCTGCCTTGTGCTCAACACCACACCTGGTAGCTGTGGGTATAGTCGAGGCCAGCTTCCAGCGATTTGTTTCTCAAGGCACCCTTTGCCCGCGTGTGTTCCAGCCAGTCTTGGAGGCCATTGAAACAGTCAAGGAGCAAACTGGTATTCTTGCCAGGCCTAGTCAGGGCTTTCAAAAGCTCATCCTTCTTGTCTTCCAGAGCTAAGTAAAGTTTCTTCAGCTCAAGAGCCAGTTCCTGTGAAGTGGAGAGGAAGATACAGAGAATGAGCTCAGATCTCATGAGGTCTGAGCTCTGGCGGGGCCGGGCTGGCAGGGAGGGCCGACCTCACAGCGTGCCTGCTGGGTGGGCACATCCTCCCGCAGGAGCCCCGGGGTCTGCAGCAGCTCCTCCACGCTGCCAAGACACTGACTGAGCATCAGGAAGAGGTCAAACATCTTCCTCTCCAAACTGACATATGGTTCTTCTGTCACGTTTTCCTGAAATCAGGAAAAAATATTAGGATTCTTTGCCTTTCTAAAAGCACATTTTTTCTGGTTTCCACTGAAATTTAAGTTATATTTTATTTTAATAATAAGTTGTTTCAATCAAACGAGCTCCAAAACCTGGACTAATCAGTGCTCCTATTAATCAGTGAACTAGGACTAGGTCACAGAATAAATAAAACTAGAAGTTTTAACTGAGAAAAACAAGTTTAAGAAACTCAGTCTTAGGTAGTGACTTCACCACTGAATCAGTTATGATGTAAATCACAAGGTGAAGAGCTTCCTTAGCAGGTCCATCCAGGTGGGTATGTGGTCCCTCTTCCCATTGATTCCGGCCCTCCACATTTTAATGTAGGAGAAAGTGGGTCAATGAAATCAAGCACAGCAGGGGGAGGCAGGGGACAAGTCTGAAGGGGTTGATTAGGAGGAGAAAGTATGGCATCTTAAAGGTAGCACTGGAAGCCTGGAAGTGTAGCTCAGTGGTACAGCACTTGCTTAGCAAGTGCAAGGGCCTGAGTTTGATGTCCAGCACTGGAGGAAAGAAAAAATAGATAAGGATAGGCAGTGGGGCAGGGGAAGTAAGGAAGGTCGTTTATGGACTGATTGCAATAATCCAGGCAACCCTTAGATGCGCATCTCCAAAGGAACCCCTGGGCTGTACAAGTGTACCCCAACGAATTAGGGAGCTGTGCACAGATCTGTTATAGCATAAGCGGGTGGAACTACTTTTTCTTCACCCATGGTTGCCTTGAATTCCTGATGAGTAGTTTAGGAGCTTGCCTAGGATTGTAAATCATCATTCCTCCTCAGGCTGCTTCCTGCTGCATTCTCTGATGGATCCCTAATGGTACTGATCACACCACTTCATGAGAAATCTACTCAAGGTTGGAGCCTTGCCTGTACCGTTTCCCTCCCCTCCTTCTCCACCCTGCCCAGATAACCACTGTAGACAGTGTTAATCGACCACTGTTCTCTTTTTTGTTAATTCTGGACTCATTCAGAATCCTTTGCACATAGTACTTTAGGCAGCAACTACAAAATTCAGCAGACTTGGCAAGCAAGGTAAAGTCTATTTGCAATCTTAGGTTCGATTCCATTATGTGGTAAATAAATTCACGATCAATCTGCAAATATGATATTCTATTTCTCTTATTTTTTATGTTATTGCTATGAAGAAAATATATAACACACAATTTGTACCTGTGTCTGAAGATCACTTGCTTCCTGGCACAGATCTTCGAGTTGGGTGGTGTAAGTTTTCAGTTCTTCAATCGTAGGGTATCTGAAGTTATACACATGCACACTGGGGAGAGTACTCATACTTGTGGCAACCTACACAGGAAAGGGAAAGCTTATTAGCAACAGTTGATGCTCTTAATGTAAATAGTAAAAATGTCTTTGCATGCAGTCTTCTGAATTATCTTCTTCATAAGCATTCTTATTTATAAGAAAAAAACCCTGTAAATGTTCCAGACAGCTTTGGTAAGTCACGACACTTATGCAGCACTACGTAGTTTTCAAAGTGCCTTAAAAATTAACATATATTACTCCTTCCTTTACTCCTTCAATAGCTAGTCACTGAGATTATGTGATCCCCGGTGCTGTGCTACACATACTCACAGATGAACCAGACAGACACGATCTTTCTTCTCAGACCTTCTAGTAGGGAAGACAAATAAACCAGTGGGTAGTGTGGCAAGAGCTATGATCAGGAAGCTCAGTGTGCTGCGGAAGCACAGAGGGGCACCTAATGTGGATACCCAGGATGAAGACAAAGCGTGGGCCAAGTGAAGAACCCACCTGGCACCTCTGCTTTCTGAACATAAACTGCCTCCTAATGCGGAGCGTGCATGCTTATTTAATGCACACTCACTGGGTCCACAGGCTCACAGGCTACTGCACTTGGCGCAGACTCACACTGACCTGGGGCTCCACCACCTGAGCCAGAGGCACCTTTACTCTGGACGCCAGTGCATGATGAAGATATTGCCACTTATCACCACTTCGGCCCTCAGATGAAAGGACGGAGTCTGGGGCTTCATTTTCGGGGTCAGATGCTTTGACGCTTTTGACGAAGAAAAAATAGTAATAACAATCAACATACAATTTTTTATTATATTTAGACAACATTTTCCAAATAGCTTTTAATTTTATTCTCCCAAACATAAATCTACTGAATGCTCAACTATTTAAAAATGTTTTACCTTATAGATGATTCCTGAGATGTATCTTTATCCTGTTGGCAATACTGTGGCCATGTTTTCTTAGCATTAAATTCTATGAATTTTATTAAATCTTTTTGTTCCACTGGTTTTAACTCCAGAACCTACAATTAAGATTCAAATAGCTAGATCAATCTAGTTTTTTCAATTAATACTTAAAGATTTCTTCTGTTGAAATAATATAATTTTGAACCACTTCTTTAATCATTGTTTACTATTTCTCTTTTTTGAGTGCTTATTCTTGTTAACTTTCATTTCTCATAAAGCCCACATAAAACACTCAAAGAATAGCCAAGTGTTAAACTAAATTAGACATATAAAAAAATCGACAAAAATACACTGTTTTGAGACAATAAGCATGGCAGAGTTGTAGTTATAGTGCTAAGTTCGCCCTGGAGGTATTTGCTTAGTTTGATATATAAAACAACTTAATAAAGTTCATGTCTCCAGTGGTAGCAGACGGAAGCAAAGCAGCAAATGCTTAAAACTCAGCATTGTTACTCATGCAACATTACCCTGATCACACCTGGCTTCTAGTCACATGCACAGAAACTTTGGTTTAGTCCAAAGGAGATTCCCTCTAGAAGGATTTATTCTTGTCTTACAATTGCTGGTGGCCAAACTTACCTGTTGCTGTGGGACATCTTTTGGTCTGCTGAACTGTGGCCTTTCAGTTGCAATAGACTCCACTTCCGAAGAGTGAACCGGCTGGAGGACTTTTAGATCTTCTGAAGGTTTCTTTAGAATGGTAGGAAGCTGTTAAAAAAAAAAAAAAAATTTCAAGATGGCAGACTACCTAAAAAGAAAGGCCTGGGCTGGGGATTTAGCTCAGTGCTTCCACCACCTCCCTCCCAACCGCAAGGTCCAGAGTTTGATCCCCAGTACCACAAAAATAAATAAATAAGTAGGCCTATCTTATCTCAACTCTACCATTGGGACTAGATAATAGAAAGGTTTTATATGAAGTAAGTGATAGTATTTTGTTATGCACTATAATAATATCAATAATGTACTTATAATAACTTTAAAAATCACTACATTTGATGAGATGATCACTTTATTTTCTCAACCTAATTCATCCAATGAATTACTAAAAGCCAGGAAAATTATTGCCTTCTTTTCTTTAGAACAAAGTAAAAAAAAAAAAAAAATCTAAAAGGGAAACAAGTATTATGATTACCAACTCAAATTTTCCTATTGTCTAAAAAACTCTTTTTAAAAAGACAGTAGGATGAAAGGGAAACCACATGGCTTATGTATCTGCAGCCAGTCTATTACTATGAATATAAGTCCCCAAGTAGGAACCATTTACTAAGTTTGGAGATAAATCTTATATATGTTTTACTCATAGGATGCACATTTTCATTTAGTTATTTGTTTGCTTGTTTCTTTATTTTGGGTTTTTTTGAGACAAGGTCTCGCTATGTAGTTCAGGCTGGCCTCGAACTCCCCCTGTTCAGCTTCTCAGCTGCTGGGATTACACGTGTGCACCACCATGCTGGGCTCACATTTGCATTTATAAGCACAGAATGCTTTCAAAAATCATGAGAACACTTTTATTGTGTCACACTCTGATCTGTATATAAATATTTGTAAATGAATAACAAAAGTGCCCTAGAAACAGGTTGTTTTTTTTCTGATGTCAAATTTTAATCTTATTTGAAAAGGCTTCATTTTCCAGTCAATTGGAGTTACAAAACTCCTTTAAAATACATCCCTGTCATGAAGAAGCCTCACACAAGCCTACAATATCAGTAAGAACATTCAACCCCACTAAACCAAATCAAATCATCACCAACAACCTAGAAAAGAAACCAGCACCTCTGGCTACACAGGGCTGTATTTTACCTGGTCCTCACTGTACTTCTCCTGAAGCATCATCTGGACTTTTTCCAAATTGCACTTCACAGTCTTGAGTTTCAGGGAAAGAACTTCAGCTTCTTGTTGAGTAGTTCCACTATCTCCCAGGCCCTGATCTTTACAAGTCTCTAACAAAGAGGCAACTTTGTGCTCAATCTCTGTCAGCATAGCCTAGGAAATAAAGTCATGTACTTAGTCTCAGTGAAGGTCATTTAAAAAAAATTTATTTTTTAAATAGGTGCTGGTGATTGAACCCCAAGAGCCTTGTTCGTGCAGGGCCTGTGCTCTACCAATGAGCTACACCCCAAGCCAAGCCCACAGTGTTGGTCTTAAACAAGTGGTGTCCTCAAAATAAGTGAGATTTACTCTCTTTACCTAAGGGTCCCAGAAACACATGGAAGGGACCCTGGAAAAACAAAAACTTCCACATAATTCCTGTGCTTTTAAGCAGGGATGCAACACCACACCAAATCTGATTGCAGATATCCCTTTCTGAAATAAAATCTGAAGTCTAAAATAAGCAATTCAACAATCACTTTAGAAAACCACCACTGAATGTATCCGTTCGAGCACAATGGATAGGAACACGGATGCTGGCACTGACTACCTGAGTTTGGATCCCAGCTCTACCACTTAGTACTGCGTACATTTAGGCACCTTACTTTCTATGTGCCTGTCTCTAGCGCTCTGTAAAATGGGGTTAATAACAGAATTTCCCACCTCGGGTTACTGTGAGGGATTAATGAGACAAATCCAGGTATTCCACCCTTAATCCACATAATCTGGATTTAATCAGTTAAAATTATGTACATAGTCCTGTGCTTAAAAAGCGCTGAGCACAAAATTAAGTAAAGAATGTTGACTATTCTTGTTATCTGGGTGTCAAATAGGAATTTAAAAAAAAAAAGAAACAAATATTTCATACAACTATTTAAAAAATTCTTCTCCTTGTTCTTTTTCTTCTCTTTCTCCAGCCAAGTAAACCTCCAACTTTAGAACACCACAGAAGAAATAATTTGGAACATAAAAAACTTAGTCATGATACAAGTGGCCAATTTATACAGAGGTCTAAAAATAAGTCAGCTGGCTGAAGTATGTTTCCCAGTAAGTCATGGTCATTGCATTTCTCCTCGATGGGTCAAGTGTACCCTCTCCTGGGGCTCAGGAGCCATACGGCCGTGCCAACAGGCTGGGCACACAGTCGGCAGCAGAAGCATGCTCACATTTCATTTCAACATCACAATTACTGGCACTAAAACTCAGTGAGTGACTAAGAACAAGTTCAGGTCCTTGAGGGACATTTAAAGAAAATTTCTATCCTTAAAATACATTTTCAAATAATATATAACTCTTTCATCCAAGGAAGCTACTTACAGCCTCTATAGATAAGATTCTTCTGAGCTTAAATGACACCTACTCATGCATTTAAGAGTGGCTTTAAAAAAGTGCACGTTCTCTTTTCACTCAGTTATTTTATATGTACTTTATGTGTCTCCCTACCACGTTTCACAATTCCCATTTTAATGGCAGCAGGTTGATACTCTGTGATTCACTTAACAATTTCCCTCTTGTTACCACTTTAACAAGTTCAATAGGGCCATATGGGCATGACTGTCCCACCAGGCAGCCCGTACCATCCATTGGGACTGTCTCATTCCTCCTGATGGGACAGTCACGCAGGTACCACCGGTGATCCAAGCAGCAAGAATGTGTTACGGTGCTTCCAGGTCTTCACTTTTGTAACCAATGCTGCCATAATTATTTTTCTCATTTTAAATTATTTTCAGGGGGTAAATATGAAATAAAAGCATTCTTAGGTCAAAGATGATGGATATTTTATATGCTGACAACTGATCTCTCTAAACACTGAACCAACTAGACGTAATTACCAGACTTTAGTGGACGTATTTTTCTAGATTTTGCTACGATGATATAATTTTTGCTAGTGTAATATACAACAAAACGTTAGCTGTTTTACCTCACGTGTTTTTAATAATCAAAGCAAAATATTTCTTATCATATATTAAAGTACCAAATATAATTTTTCTTGACTAATTTGTTTGCTCCAACCTATGGCCGTTTTTCCACCAGGAACTTGGCCTTTTTACAGACCACTTGCAGACTTTTTATATATTTCAACATGAAACTGTGTCTTACTGTTATGTGAGTAACCAAAGATGGTACTTGTGTATTGGCTTCTATGTTGTTTTTCCTAGCGATTCAGAACCATTATTAGTTCTGCTGCCTCCAGACTCAAATTTTTTTATGCATTTAGTGGCTTTAAATATAGCCCAAATAAGCATATTTTCAGCCATTCAGAGCCTGTCTGCTTTGCATATACCTCAAATCCACACTGACATCTGCCAGCCATGAGGAAGGCAAACCTCAGGTATAAAAAGTGCCCAGACTGCTGCCCCCAGGGACCCTCCACTGGGGAGGGACATCGCAATCACCCAGACACGTAAGTTCCCTTTCCTCTGCTGCTCTGGGCAGCAGCCCACTCCCACCTCAACCCTCAGCCTTAGCTTCTCAGGGAAGGCCTCCTTCTGAAGCCCTTTCCCTTCTAATCAGCAAATCGCTGGCCACACAGAGCCTATTGCATGATCCTGTCACCTGGAGGTCACACCTTTGGGCGGCTCAGAAATCCTTACACTGGAAGAATAATCTTTATACTAGAAGTGGTGATGAGGGTGGGATTCCAGTGATCAAGGAATGGGCACAAGGTTTATCCTGGCAATAGACAACAGGGTGGCAGATGGACACTGGACACCTGTACATAGTTGGGACTCAAAGCCTTGAATGCCTCAGGTTCTTATCAGCCAGGCCAAAGGACAGTATCAGTAACTGAGCAGACTATTAGAGCTGACCATCTGGACGGACTACTGGGATCAGAGGTGACTTTGCACTGCTGGAGGAGGAAGAAGTCAGCTCATCCACCTGTCCCCTACCCCTGCGGGCAGTTCTGGATGCTGTAAGGCAGGGCCGAGCCCAGGGGAGGAGGCACACCCCTGCAGTGAGGATGACAGGAATTGCAGGAAGAGCTCCCCAAGGCTGGGCAGGGACTCAGGCACCCTGAGACCAGAGGATGCCTGCATCGCTGGTACAGAAGCAAGTTAGGAAAGCAAAGAGGCCAGGCTCTGCTCATGCTGGGGGAGAGGCCTTGCCTTTGTGTCTTGCAATTATGCTGCTACACTGTCATCATGCAAGCCCCTCCCCTGAGGGACCCACAGAGCCTGACCTTTGGGCTGAGCCTGAGAGCTCTACTCAGAATGTCTAAAGCCAAAGAAGTGGTGTCCTTGCTCCTCCCCAGCAAGATCAGGAGCATTCCTGGTAAAATGGCTGCAAAGCCTATTTCTGCTCTAATGTGCACTTTTACAAATGAGGACACTCACTTTCATTTTTGATGAATGAATCTTCACAGTGCTTATGACTATTACTAAAGACAACAGTATTTATTGAGCAGTTTTTATATACTTTATATATTAGACACTGCTTTATATACCTTATCTCATTTAATCCTGACAAACCATGAGCTAACTTACTATACGAGGAAAACAGGTGGACAAGTTAACTTCTGCAAGTTCACAGTTAGTGTGACAGATCTGGATTTGCACTCTAGATTCTGAGCCCTTATCCACTCTGTCCTCCCAAATACGCTGCTTCCTTAAAGAATTTCAAAGAATTACCCTGAGGACGATGCGTTGAGGCCAAGATAAACATCAACGTCAGAGCACCAGAAAGAGACACCTTGTTGCTTTAAGAGGAAGTTGCTCCACCTCGACAGGGTTTGGTGAGAAGGCCAGGCGTGACCCTGGCCTGTCAGTCTTACCTGGCACCCAACCAGCTCCTGCTCCACCACCTGCTGCATGGCTGCATTTAATGTTTCCGGCTCAAATGCCACGCTGGCTTGCTGTAGCCACAGCTCCAGCTCGGCCACCTGAGTCTGGCAGACATGGAGGACTTCCGCAGGCCGAGGCCTTGTCTTCTCCACTGTGGCCCCAAGAGCTCCTTGCTTGTCAGAAGAGTCCAGAGCTGCAGCCTTGGTCGGGGGTGTGGTGGCCTACAATAAACCCACAGGTAAGGCACCGGTGAAAAGCCAGTGGTCCAAAGATTTCAGACTGAGGCCGGCAAAGACCTGCGGAGCTGTAACATTTCCCCCGGTTAAAAGGACAAAATCAGGGCAGAAGAAGGAAGAAAGAAAAGCGAAATTCACCTCCACACTCATAGCCACAATAATCACGTGATCTGGTGGCACTGGTTTCCAAGCAGCTGATCGGAGTGTACACAGGTACAGTATTCCCAGGCACCTCAGAGCCAACGGCTCGCAGTTCATTCCACGCAGGCCCAGGAGAGAGGGGCGTGTGTGCATGTGGGTGTGAGTGTCCTGAACACTGCAGGGGACCGGCTGGCATTTAAAGTCCCGTGACATGTGATTAAGCAACACTTACTTTGCTGTGGGCTCTATTCAAACGGAAAAGGCCAAAACAAAAAAGGTCTTTACATACTGGAGGGTGCAGTGAAACACACCACCCATTTTTAACTTAACACCTTCTCTCTCAAATAGCCTGGCCATAAAATATTCTGGCTTTTCTTTAAACACACGTGCTATTCTTCATCTAAACTTCTACTAAAAATAGTTTGAGTCAAGTAATAAAGTTCAGTGTGGGTAACCTGGAAACATTTTTTCTATTCCTCAGAGAAAATCCTAAAATGACTTTCACCCTCTAGATATTTACATATTATTGAGTTAAGGAATAAGTATTTCAGGTATAGTTGGAAGAAAGTATGATGTATTCTTTTTACACAGAAATTACTGGGCAGCTTATCAATATAATAGCAGAATTTCTCCCAGATATCAAATTCAAGTATTCTAGTAATTATATATTAGATATTTTCAATTTGGAGGTAAAAGGTGATTTAATACAAGGATATATTTATCTTCTACTGTATTACCTAACCTTGTCCAGAGTAAGAAAAGAGTATGTTGGCTCTTCTAGTGAGATAAGGATTTATGTTGTGATCTACAAAAGCACTGGTACCAATATTTTATTATGATCATGATAAACTATAATGTTTTCTATGTAAGACTTTGTGGGGGGTTTTCGGTTTTTTTGGTTTTTTTTGGTACTGGGGATCGAACTTGGGACCTTGCGCTTACAAGGCAGGCACCGGAACCACTGAGCTAAATCCCCAGCCCTATGTAAGACTTTGTTAACAACTTGTTAGTATCTAACAGAGCACAATTTGGGCCAATGACAAACTTCTAACGGGGCTGCTCAGAAATGCACACTCACTTCCTAATGTTTGTGGAGTTTTTTCCAACATAAGACTTTTAGAGCAAGAGTGAACAAAACTGGTAGGTGGAAAGAAACTGTGCAGACATGGAACACCATTTGTTTTCATACACACTAATGAGCATTTTGAAAGCTTTTCAGCAAAAGAGTCTCTGGGATATATATTTTTCTACTTGGCCATCTATTATGGACATATATTTATTTGCTCTTTTCCACAAAAGGCTAATTTTTTCCTGCCTTCCTTATAATTCCTCCTATCCTTATAATTTCCTTCAAGAATCACCTCGACAGGCATGATGGTGCATGCCTGTGATCCTAGCACTCTGGGAGGCCACGGCAGGAGGATCCCAAATTTGAGCCCAGTCTCGGCAACTTAGTGACTTATCAAGACCCTGTCTCAAAACAAAAAATAAAAACAGGGCTGGGGATGTAGCTCAGAGTGAAGGCCCTGGGTTCCCCAATACCGCCCCCCCCCCCACAAGAATCATCTCCTTAAGGAAGTTTTCCCTTGCCTTGTGTGTCTCCTCTGGATTTCACATATGGTCAGGTCTATACTTGGTTTCAACTCTTTCGGTTTTCCTTTTTAATTCTTGATTTTTTTTTTTTTTGGTACCAAGGATCAGGGATCAAACTCAGGACCCTGCTTGCACTTAAGAGACAGATTCGGTGCCATTGAGCTAAATCCCCGGCCTTTAATTCTTAATTTTTAAAAAAAGCAACAGTTGTGTGATGTTACTAACAGACATCAATTTCTAGCCATCTTATTAATTATTTCCTACTTTTCAGGTATCATCTGTCAGAAGCAAAGACCTGGGGGAGATCCCCTTTTTGTTACCTGAGATAAAAATCTGTTATTAATTAATCTGTAATAAATGATTTACCATTTGCCTTCTTGTTTATTCTATGTGCACACCTCTTTTATTCCATACACATTTTAAAATGCCAGTATTGGGTTTCTCTGCTTTCTCACTACCTCGATGTGGAAATAAGCAAGCTGCATGACTAATATGGGCTTTATTTGCTAGTTACTTGAACCCGAAGAGACTCCAAAGGGGGACAGGAAAGAAAAGATTATTTGTAACCGTAGAACTTCAATAGCTGAAAGCAGTCAGGAACCGGCCAGTGATCGGCTCAGCTCTCTGTTTACAGCGAGAGAAACCCGAGCCCGAGCCCGAGCCCGAGCCCGAGCCCAGGAGAGCCACTGAAACAGCTCCTGGGCCTCCAGTCCCACCACGTGGCTGCTGAGAAGTTGCGGCCCAGACTTCCAAGGTCAGCAGCTCTATAATTTTTTGTAATTGAAAATAATTAATTAAATTAATTTATTTGAACGGTTTTTAAGACGCAGAAGCCCAGGTTGTAAAACGAAGGCACAGGACATGTGTGAGGCACCCACGCTGACTGATGTGGCACCTTTACCATGGGACCAGGCAGACATTTCGAGGGGCCACCCTGGGGCAGTGAGGGGCACAGCAGTGGGGAAAGCTGTGTGAGCTCTTCCCAGCCAGGTGGCAGAGAGAGGACGCACCTGGGGCTTATCAGCAGGCCAGGGAGGGTAACCTCGGAGATTCTTAAACTATAGATCTCTTGTTTTTTCCCCAACAGCATCCAGCAAAGCATCTTCTCTAAGAGACAGCCCCAAATTGTAATGGCAGAAATCACTGAAATGAATGTTTTCTATCAATATACTTTGGGGGCTAAAAGTAAGAATACAGATACTTCTTGTTAATAAGAACAATGCTGTCTCTGTAGCATGATTACATTAGTAATACCTGACCTTGGGGACGGGGATTTAGCTCAGTGGTTCTGCTGTCTGCCTCGCAAGCACAAGGTCCCAAGTTCAATCCCCAGTACCAAAAAAAATAAATAAAATAATTAGATTGGAATGGCTGAAAAAAGTCCTGAGGAATATAAAAAAACAAAACAAAACCTGACCTTCACTGGGCTCTCAGGAACCAGGTGCTGTGCCAAGGACCACACAAAGACCACCTCATTACTTCCCATCACAAGCCTATATGTATTCCCAGTGTGCATTCCATGAGGAAACTGAGGTCCCAGGAGGCTGTTCACACTGCCCACCCCCATACAACCCACGAGCAGAACCAGAATTCAATCCCTCATTTCCTTGTGCTTGGAATCTATAAGTCCACTTCCTTGACCCAAGCTCACCAGCCATCCGGTACCCAAGTTAGCCCCTCCATTTCTGCATCAACACATCACTCACCTCACTGCAGCACTGCAGCTAAAGCACAAGTTCATTTTCTGGCAAGAGCTACATTTTATACCCAAATGACCACCCTTTATATTTCCTCATTATTTTAGTCAATTCTACACACACCCCCACATCTCACCCCACTGCCTGCGAAATGTGAAGTGGCCCGCCTGAACTGCAATAGCGACAGACACACACAGACTGAGGTGTCCCTTGGGAGTGGCATGGTCATTCTGCAAGGTCAGGCCTGCCTTGGTTTCATGTCTTTCTGTATTAAATATTTACTTTTTGTTGCAGTTTGAGACATGGATGATCCCAAAATTTACTAAAGTTATGTGCTTCTCATGGGCCGCCTGGTCACTGAGGAGCCCCTCTCCTCTCTGGTGCTGCGTGCGCGCAATGAGGGGAAATGAGCGAGTACCAGAGGTAAAAGTGCAGAATAATCAAAAGCAGGCCGGTCCCTGCTGTGATAAAAGGTGACCTCCCACTACTTTTTGGTATCCATGAATCCATTAGGCTCCCTCAGGATGAAAGTTCTGTTAGGAAGAAAATGTAAATATATGTATGCAATACATGAGTTTAAGAGAAAGATATTAGAGCCTTAGACTTAAAATCTGAGGTTCTAAAGCCAGAGGCAGAAGGATCTGGCTTTCAGTCTTCACTCTGCCTCAATGGCTTGGGCTGCTTATGTCAGTGCTCAGAGCAGCAAAGCGCCATCTGTGAAGAGGGGTAACAGTGACTACTATGTGGAGGGTGTACGAGTCAGGAGGTAATACATGCAAAGCCCAGGTCCTGGCCCATCGTAAATGCGCAGCAAATGTTTTTTATATTCTTCTTTTTCTTTACTGTCGTCGTTATCGAGTGCCAACATGGGTAGGGCAATGACTCCTATTACAGATCATCCAACCCAAGAGGTGCACACGCTAAGCAGAATGCCTACTGTGGCCAAAACACAATTGCAGGTGTCAAAAATAACATATTAATTCTGGGCAGCAAAACAAAACAAAACAAAAAACCAAACTATCAAGCTGGTCAGTCACTTTCTTAGACCTGAGTGTAGCCAGTGAGGGTCAATTTCCCTTCGACTTCCGTCTACCTTGCTGGGCATCTGTTGTTAGAGATGAAAAGGAAGAAGGGTGAAGAGGAGAATAACAATTTGACAACTGGTCTATATTTTTCTAGGAACAGACAAAAGATTGGTAGAAAAGCTACATAAATAAAACTCCATATAAAAAGTTAAAATTACTGTTTAAAGCAGCAAAAGCATGCCAGTTATCTTTTCTGGAGCTACAACTATGGGATTTTAGGTCCAGCTGAACACCAAAGCCAGCTTGGGAAACAGCGCCCTCTGAAGGCCTTCTTCAGAACCACCGAGGCAGTCGAACTGGGACCTTCTGGGACTGATTCCTTGCTCTTCCCTTCACTCCTCTCTGGATTTTGATTTGCTCCTTTGTGAACTTTTGGTAGGCGCTAATCTACCACGTGATTAAATGGACAACAGACATAAATGCCTTTTACGGATCAATATTAGCTCGTCTCTGCTTCACTGTCCCCAGATGCTATGTATCCGATTAAAGCAGACAGGGAAGGACCACTTCGTGCTGACAAATCATACCATGCTTATTTTCTACGTAAATAACTGACAGCAAATCTTCCTGTTCTGCAGCTTTCACAGCACAAAGATGCTAAGGTCCACAGGGGACGCTTGGTGCAACACACAGGTAAGGACTGAAGCTATGGAGCAGTTGGTTTGCAACAGACGGGGACTTACCTCTTCTGTCTGGCTGAGCCCCAGGGAGAATTCTGGGCCTTGCTCAGTGTCTGGTGAGTCTGGTGCAAGAATCTGCATCATGGAATAGACACAGGTGCTTATTTTCATCCCTGGCTCCTGTAAAGAAAGGAATCTGAGGTTCAGGGAGAGCCCTGCCCTGCTGCCGAGGAGCCCCTCCTGGCCTCTCATCTGCAAGGTGACTGCTTGCAAAACATCTAGAGAAGTCAGGCGAACCCAGAAAAAGTTAATTCCCTTGGGGGAGGATCGACTTTCTCAGGTTGGTCATTATTTGACAGACTTCAATTTGCCACAACTCTGGTTAAGCAGCACATAAGGAATCCACAGAATTAAGTATGTTAGTAGATTCTGATAAGAATTTAAATAAGATTCTATGATAAGGGCCACATTTCAAATAATGACAGAAAAAAATGAAGTCACTAAATTTAGGAAAAAAACTACCCAGACGCTTTATAAAAAATATTAACTAGGGCCGGGGATTTAGCTCAGTGGTTTTGCCACCTGCTGTGCAAGCGCAAGGACCCGAGTTCAATCCCCGGTACCAAAAAAAAACGTCTGAACTCTAGTTAAAATGTACCAATAAACGTACCGAAGAAAAAAAAAAAAAAAAAAATTAACTAAAATCTTAGCCCCTCATTCCTAACAATGAATTCTAATTATATCTAATATTGAAATGTAAAAGCTAGGCCATAAAAATTCTAGCGAGGGAGTTTCAAAGCATAACAACAAAGGAAGAGGATGTCTTTACGCTGTTATGTTGGACAACATTAAAATAGAATAATGTATACCACAAAAGACACCATACTCTAAATTAAAACAAATATTAAACTGGCATAACTATAGTGTTAATGTCCTCAGTATATTAATTCATCTTATAAATTAGTAAGTTAAACATCAACCCCCGTGTAGAAAAAGTCAAATGGTATAAACAAGCAATTCACAGAAAAATTATAAAAACCAACAGACATCTCAAGAGTGACAGTCAACTGTCTTAGAATGTAAATTCAATTTAAGATATTGGTCAAGTTTGTCTAAGAGTGACAATCTCAAATACCAACTTGGATCAGGAAATAAGCACTTCATCCATTTTTGGTTGGAATAAAATTGGCTCAGACTTTGTGTAGGGCAGTTTGACAATGTGTACAGCAGAGTGGTAGAACATTTGTCTAGCATGAACAAGGCTCTGGGTTTGATCCCCAGCATCAATCTCCACCCTCCATATGCCTTGATTCAGTAATCCTTCTTCGAAGGTTATCCAGGATTAAGCAACGTGAAAATGATGTGTACAAAATAATAAACAGAGTGTGGCAAGAAGTGATGGATGTCTTAATCAACCTATCCTGATTGTTCTATTTACAAATTTTGTGATATCCTGGACAACTTAACCTGGACTCTGAGCTCGCTTACTTGATCTTTAAAGTGGAAATGAAGCCTACATCACTCATGCTTCTTTTTTTTTAATGGCCTCAGCAAGTGACACCCTTTATTTAAACTCCTTCTACCTGCCCCAATCCAACCATTTCAAAACGCCCAACTCAGGGCTCATCTCTTTTGTGAAAGCAACCTAGAAATCCTCAGCAATGGTGGCCTCTCCCTCTCCCGAACACCTGTGTCAATGGCCACATGGCCACAAAGCTGTAGTTTATATACTTGGATTTGAACTCTGGTTCTTCTTTTTACATTGCATGGTTTCTCTTATATGACAAGCTTAATATATAAATAAAGAATAAAATAAAAGACATATTTTTGAGTTTTAAACAAGATGATATATATAAAGCATTTAGTATTTTCTAACAAAATGTTAGTTGGCTCTTTGGCTTCTATTGGAAACAATAACTGCTGGGATAGGTAAGCCTGGCCGTGTCAACTTGCTTGGCTTGAGAGCTGCCCGGGATCGGTGCAGCACACTTCTGGGTGTGTCTGGATGCATCACAGATGAGACGCTTTGGGTACTATGTCTGGTCCCTGGCTTCTTTCTCTCAGGCACTGTTCCTCTGCTCTGCTTCCTGCGCATCATGAATTAAGCATCTTTGTTCTACCCATGCCCTTCCGCCATGTTGTTTCTGCCTTGGAGCCAGCCAACCATGGACTGAATTCCCTTCAACTGTGAGCCAAACTTAAGCCATTCTGCGTTGTGGGTATCAGGTATTATGACTCAGTGATGGGAACTCTGACTAATACAACTGCTTTCAGAAACCAAGAATTAAAGACAAAGCTGAGATTAAGTTGGAAAGGTAGAAAGGGATCATGAAAAATCTTGAAGACCAAGAAGTTTGGATTTTGTTTAATAGATAATCAGAATCCATGAAGGATTTTTTTTTTTTGGTACCAGGGATCGAACTCGGGTCCTTGCACTTGCACAGCAGGCGGCAAAACCACTGAGCTAAATCCCCAGCCCCACGAAGGATTTTAAGCTGAGGTTTAGCATATGTTTTAGGAAAAGCCATGAGAATTTTGTATGTATATTAGGTAAAGTAACTAGAGGTTATATAACTAATTAGAAGAGTACTCCAAAAGCCCAGGGGGGAAATGAAATTGCTTTCCTAGGATGACAATAAATATAATGGGAAGAGGAGAAAGACATAAAGATTAAACAGGTATTGCTTGACCACTGACTGGATATGAAAGATAAGAAAAATGGTACCTAAGATAGCTCTAAAGTTCATGTATCTTAGACTCTGAGCAAGCCCTGAGAAATTAGAAGGAAGAGCAAGCTTTGAAGGAAGGTAGTAAATGAGTTTGAGATTTTAAAAAATCATCTAAAATGAGAAGTCTTTTGGGGGGTAGAAATGTGAAAGAGATTTGAGAGAAAAGGCAAGATGAGAGATTGGATGTGGGACTCACTGGCACTGAGGTGACTACCAAAGCCATGGGAAGAGATGAAAACAGAAGAGGACAAATGGCTTGGGAAATGTCTGGCTTCTAGAGACAGATGAGAAACCAGAGCAAGGGAAGAAATGGAGGAGGGGTCAGGGCAGAAGAGACAGGGATGTGCAGCATCGAGATGGTCAAGGAAGGCTGCATTTCATGAACAAAGAGATGGCCAATAGTGTCTCATGCTGGAGAGCTTGAGAAGGCTTAGGACTAAAGAAAGGGCTCAGCAGATGTTCCACAAGTCAACAGCAGTTTAACTAGAGGCAGGAAAGAGATTATAACAGGGCCTTGGAGTAACAGGCAAAAATATTTAATGGGAAATGAAAGAGGAAGTACAGTAATTGACAGGGAAAACAGGATTAAGAAAGTAGATTCATTAAAGTGCCACAGTAAGTACAGGTTATAAACATGCAGAAGAGATAAGATCTTTGCCACTGTGGAACTGTGTCAAGCGTATGGATGAAACTGTGGTGAGCCATAACTGAGATCCATAGAAAATGCAATTTTCCCCGTGGGAGCTCAGGAGGGTTGAGAAGGTGGAAGTGCGGACGGGTCTTTCCAGACAAGGGGAAGTCCACAGGTGGATGCGGAAGAGGGGGTGCCAGGGCTACTGGGCATTTTCTGAAGAACTGCTCAAGAGATGATGGGTTTGTTCAGGTGGAGGGGCCAAGAGGGAGGGAACTTGTGGGAGGGGAAACCTAAATACTTCTCAGGTAGCCAGGGAAAGAGTCCACCTTGAGGCAGAGACTGGAGGTACACTACAAGCAGAGGTGGTGCCAATGACTTATAAAGGATTGGCCTGAGAGCTGGCTGAGGTGACAGGCAGTGGCGGCAGGGATGTGTGGGTCAGGAAGATGATGGTGCCTCGGACATAGTTCAGGAGGAAAGAAGGACACTGTTCGGCTGGCAGCTGAGGACTGTTTTCTAAAGTGAGGGCATTTGCCTTCTAGTTTGAAAGACTGGAGATGTGGAATGTCACAAGGAGCAACAAGACTTAGTCCACTAATTTCTCATATACATTATGGGTTTTTTCTCATATGGGTTTTTTTGTTGTTTTTTTTTAAGAATTATGGCTGCCCATAGTGGCACATGCCTGTAATTCCAGCTACACTGGAGGCTGAGGCAGGAGGAGAGCTTGAGCCTGGGAGTTTGACGGCAGCCTGGGCAACACAGAAAGAGCCTGTTTCAAAATTAAAAAAGGCTGGGCCGGAGATTTAGCTCAGTGGTTTCACCGCCTGCTGCGCAAGCGCAAGGACCCGAGTTCAATCCCCGGTACCAAAAAAAAAGAAAAGAAAAAAAGGCTGAGGATGCAGCTCAGTGGTAGAGCACCTCTGGGTTTGATTTCCAGTACCCAGGGAAAAAGGAAAAGAGGGTTACAGAGTTACCCTCCCATCTCCATCCATGATAAATGCTTTGGCAAAATAATGTGGTGAAGCCTTCAAGTGACTCTTTGAGTTATCCACCTAGAATTGAGTGCACAAGAGAAACACAAATAACAAGCAGAACTCACTAAAGCTGCCTTTGTATTTGTGCAGGTGTAATGGTGAAAAGCTTTAAAACTTCATAATACCCAAGATATGGAACCAACTTCTTTGTCCTTTGATGGGTGAGTGGATAAAGAAAGTGTAAATGGGGGCCGGGGATTTAGCTCAGTGGTTGTGCCACCTGCATCACCAGCGCAAGGTCCCAAGTTCGATCCCTGATACCAAAAAAAAAAAAAGAAAGAAAGAAAATGTAAATGTACACATGGAATATTATTCAGCTTTGGAAGAGAAGTAAATCCCACCCTCGGCAACAACATGGATGAATTTGAAGGACACTAAGTAAAATAAAATACTCTGGGCACAGAAAGACAAGACAGTTACCACATGATTTTATTTACATGTGGAATCTAAACAAGTTGAAGCAGAAGGTGGAATCGCGATTACCGGGGACGAGAGAAGGACTGGGGACACATTAGTCAAGGGATACAACATTTCAGATTGACAGGAGGAGAAAGTTGGAGGTAGCTCTTGTATAACTAGATGACTATAATTAATAATAAAGTATTTAAAAACTACTGAGAGAGGAGAGTTTGCATCCCCCCCCCCCAAAATGACAAATATGTAATACTTATGTTAATTAGCTTCATTTACCATTCTACAATGAATACACATTGCAAAGCATCGTGTTATATACCACGAATATATAGTTTCAATTTGTCTACAGCAACTAAAACTTGGCCCAAGCCATTTCCTGCCCTACATATTCTTTCAAACAAGAAATTCTTTTCTTTCACTTATATCCCTTCCTTTTATTGCTCATCTGGGCTACAGATTGGTAATTTAAATGTTTAGAGGTGCTGAAAGACCCCTAAAGAGGAAAACAGTAGGCAAATTCAGGCAGCAAAGCCCCCTCCAGCTCCCCTCGGTGTTCCATTACCTGGATGATTGTCGAAGAGGAAGATGACGGCTGATCTTCCTCCAAGTCCTTATCATGCTTCCAGAGTGAAGACCAAGTCCCTGAAGATGGCCTGGCTTTCTTGTGTCCATCCTAGGAAAGGATCACTGGTCATCGAGGGGAAGGGAACCCTGCCTAAGCAGCACTCGGCTCTGGACTTCCATACCAGACTGCACTCACGGGCAGTGTGACCACCCCCCCACCCATATTCCATCTACTGCTTTTGCTGATGAAATCAGGTTTCCAGAAACCTAAAGATATATATATATATATATATATATATATATACACACACACACACACACACACACACACACATACACACACATATACATATATACATATATATATGTATATATATATTTTAAATTAAAAGCAAGGAGTAAGTTCATATCACATAAAGAGGATCTATAAAATAGTGCATTATAAATTTGATCTGCTTTGGTAAGCACAACCTGAAATGCTATCTTTAAATTAACAGTTTGATGGCCATAAGAAAAAGTCACTAGTCATCAGAGAACTGCAAATTAAAAGGACAATGAGAGTTCAGGAGTATAACTATGCCTAGCATACACAAGGGGCTCCATCCCTAGCACCACAAAGTAAATGAATAAATAAAACCACAATGAGAGAGCACATCATATCATAAAGATACTTTCATCAAAAAGATGAAAAACAAGTATTGGTGAGGATATGGATGAAAGGGAACCCTTGAACACCGTTGTGGAATTGCAAATTAACAGCCAAATGGAAAGGAGTATGGAGGTTCCTCAAAAAATTAAAATAGAATCACTGTATTATCCAACAATCCAACTACTGGATTACATCCAAAGGAAAGGAAGTCAGTATGTCAGAGATGTCTGCACGCCTGTGTTCATTGCAGCATTACTCACAATAGCCAGGATACAGAATCAACTTGTGTGAACTGATGAATGAAGAAAATGGGGTTTATACAAAGAATGGAATACTCTTCAGCTATAGAAAAGGTCACTTTGTCATTTGTGACAGAACAGATGAGCCAGGAGAACATTATATTAAATGAAATAAGCCAACCAGGCAAGGAGAGACAAATACTACCCAATCTCGCTTACATGTGGAGTGTAAAAACCTGAACCTGTAGAAACAGAGTAGAAACCTGGTTTCCAGAGGCTAGAGTGGGTGCAGGAGGATGGGGGAGATGTCAGGCAAAGGCTTCAAAATCTCAGACAGAAGGAATAAGTATGTGAGAGGCACTGTACACATTAGTGACTGCAGTTAACAGTATATTGATAATTACTTAGAGGGTAGACTTAAAGTGTTCTCAACCCCCAAAAGGTAACTACAGGGTTGGGGACTTAGCTCAATTATACAGCACTTGCCTAGCAAATGTGAGGTGCTGGGCTCGGTCTTTGGCATCAAAATGTAGTAAATAAGTATAAGAGAAAATACATATCGATTAGCTTGATTTAGCCATTCTACAGTGTATGCGTGTATCATATCATCCTACTGTATACCACAAATGTATATAATTTTTACCTGTCACTTAAAAAAGAACTGGATAGACACAGTTTTTGTTATTGTCAAAGATAAATTCCATAAACCTATCAGTTCAGAAGCAAATATGTCGGCAACTTTTGTGGCTGCAGGTGCTCCTCCATGCTCACAATCCTCTCTGCTGTGCAGGGGTGCAGCCGGGTTATGAAGCAGCTGTGTGATGGTCAGAGCACCTAGTGAACAACTTATCCTACTGCCAGTGCTACCCAGCCCTAGGGACCCAGCAGGACAGGAGCTGTGGTGGCCAAGCTGTGACTCTACAGTTGGTTATTGTGAGCCATAAAAACACAAGCTGCTGCAATTTTCTTCCTTTTAGCGTAAGATATATTTGTCCTTTAGTTTTTAAAATATAAAATGGAAGGGCTGGGGATGTAGCTCAGTAGCACAGCGCCTGCCTGGCAAGTGTGAGGTTCTGAGTTCAATCCCCAGTACCAAAAAAAAAAAAGAAATGAAAATTGTTATCAGGAAGGTCAACTGCAAAGGTCTCATTTGATCATTATAATAAAGTAGCAAGAACTGGCTGTATTAGTTGCTGACGAAACTTATGTCCTTGACCACACTATTTAAGAACAAAGAAGTAGCTCAAACATGGAAAAAGAAAGTTCTAAAAATCACAACAGGAATGCCAACCAAGCAGCGTACTCTCAAAACTTCAGGAAAAATATTCACAAATCAGGCTATGAGAGAGGATAGCTTCACCTTCTCCCTATGTCAACAAGTGTGTCTGAATCACAGTCATCCCTCTCTTGCATGGCGAAGAAGGGTTAGATGCACTTAAAACAACGAGGATAACATGAGAGAACTACTTCAATCATACTTTTAAAATAATATTATTTACAAAAATCAAGATTGACTTAAAAATTCTTGGATTTCTGTTCATTTCCAGATCTTTTCTTTGACTCTCTTTCAGAGATTGGGTTCCAGAAAACTTAAAGGAGAAAGAAAATGATTTTCCTTACTTCACTTTGTGCAGAGCTCTCCTCGGCCTCCTCCTGGACGGCTGGCAGGAAGGACATGGCGCCCGTTCTGTCCCGCTGGAAGGGACAGCAGGACAGCTGCGGTCAGTCCGCGCACCACCCTCACCAGCATCCCGGCCTGGACGCATTTCTATGTGGCTAACTTTTTACTCACTTTATCCCAAATGCCCGTCCACCCAGTAGCCTCGCCCAGTGCCTTTCAGCTCAAGCAGTGGTACAGCCTCACTGCTGAGTCCAAGGTCCCTCTCATTTCAGTACCTCCTCCGACCCCACCGAACAGACCGAGAAGTGGGGTTCAGAGTGGTGCTGAGTCTTCCACAGGAAAACACTTCACAGGGTGGCCCCACCCACCTGCCGGTGGAATTTCATAAGCACACCCTTAAGTAACTCAGGCATACAAATTCTGGGTGTGGTCCAGAACAGACACACCCTCAACACTTTTATATTCGCTGGTAAACAATCTCAAGCAGAATGTTTCCAGGTTCAAAAACTTCTTTACTAGCTGATCAGCGAGGCACTAGTAAATTCCAGCCTGTAATTGCAGCACTCAGGGAGGCTAAGGCAGGATTTCGTGTTTGAGACAAGCCTGGACAGTTTACCAAGACCTTGCCTGTCTCACAGTTATAAAGGGCTGCGGATGTAGCTCAGTGAGAAGGCCCTGGGTTCAATCTGCAGTACCATTAAAAAGGGTGGGGGGATCTTTGCTATAGGCCGTAGACATAGATGGCACAGGTTGTGCAGGTGACAAATAGGATCATTTAAGGCCCCCTGGCATGTAGGACCAACACGACCTGAAAGCACCCCTACCTTCCACTCCAGAGCATCCCTCTCAGCCGCTCTACCCTCTGTTGCGGTGGCAGACAGCCCATCTCCTTCTGCTTGCTGATGTTCTTGCTTCAAATGCTGGTGAAGGTTTAGTATGGCTGCCTTCAAGCCCACTAACAGATCTTCCTTTTTCTGGTTTAAACTCAGAATCTGCTTTTCAATATCTTCGATTTCTCCCTGCATAGAAAGCATTTGCACTGTTTTGGGAAATCTGAGGCCTGTGGATACCCACCGGTATGGATCAGAAGGCACCGGCTTCCTTTGGTACAAAGTTGTCCTAGATCAGCGATGAACAAACCTATGGCAGGCATGCTGCAATGGGCTGTTTATATCATTGAAAGCTCTAAAAACGTTCACCATCACTGTTCTCAGCTGTTTGGTTTGCAAAGCCAGGACCAATCTCTGGTACAGAAGAGCCTCTTTACCCTGGCTGGATTTCCAAAGGACTTGCGGAGAGCCTGTAAGCTGTAGGATGCCTTAGTCCCACGGCAGACCTTGTAGGTCAGAATCTCTGGGGGCTGAGCCAAAGCAGGGAACATGTAACAAGCTCCCCGGTGACTGACCAAGGTGCGCAGCTGGGTGGGAGCCACTGCCCTTGGACTGATGGCCCTGGATCCATGGGGCCCGTTCCTGGGAGTCTGCACAGCACTAGCCTCTTCACACTGGCCCCACATAGTCACAGATCTCCCCAGGAAATTCTCCAGCAGACTAACATTTGGGAACCACTGGGAGAAAATCAAGTTAGAAATCTCATTCTTTTAGTACTGCCCTTGAAGACTCTTTCAACGATCTATCAAATGGAAATAAACAAACAAAAAAAGATATCTTGCAGAACAACTCACAGAGGAGTCCAAGGTCCATAGTGCTACTTTTAACATCTGTATTATTGATATGTCCGAATAAATTTTTTATACATGGTTTGTACATGAATGCCACTGTCTGTCCATGAGGATTATAGAATCCTACATTCAAAAGAAAAGGCAGATGTCATGCAGCCTAACATCTTTCTCTCCAGCACTCTAGAGAGGAGTCTTTCAACCTCTGCCTGAGCTCCTGTTGCTAGTGCTGATCAGGAGGAACTTTTTAGGAAATCTGTATGTGTTCAAAATGTGTTCTGAGCTGGGGGTGTAACACAGAGGTAGAGTGCTTGCTTAACATGCACAAGGCTGGGGTCTGAACCCTAGTACCGCAAAAAAACCTCAAAAACAACAACAAAAAAACTTTGTTCCTGATTATCTATCTACTCATAGACATCCAGTCTTTGATTTTTGCACAGACACAAAAGTAACACCTTCCTATCTACACGTGAGGGTCTTGAAGCCCAGAGAAAGGTGGTCTTCCCAAAGCAGCAGCCAGCGCGGGACAGCGCGGAAAAGAGCACACAGATGGGCCTCCCCACAGCTCTCAGTGAAGGCACACATTCCTACACCGACAACCCACACTGTCCCAAGTCAGAATTCCCCTGCATACTGGTGGCAAGTGAATAATGGTTGGAATTAAATCAAAGTTGGCTATACTTTGTGTTCCACTTTCAATACTAAACTCAGAGGCCAAGCGCTCCCCAACATTAATCACATGGCAAGAAAAACCTCAGCTTTCGTAATCCTTGGTACATAGGTTTTTAATGTAGAAGTTCTGATTCAAAAACAAACTTAAGGGCCAGGGATTTAGCTCAGTGGTTCGGCCACCTGCCTTGCAAGCACAAGGTCCCATGTTTGATCCCTGGTACCAAAGAAAAAAAGCCTTAAAAAACCCCTAACAACAGAGTGTTAACAGGCAAACCATTATGATAGGTACACTGGACACTGTTATTCATGGCAAATGAAAATACAGCTTGGCATACCAAATCGTTCATTATAATGGTGTTCAGAGTTTTATTACCTCTAAAAGCCCAGCCTGCCCACACTGCCTGATCCTTACCCCAAAACTAGCGGGAGAGTCAGGTTGTCCAAATATGTTGTACGACAGCAGCCTCTTAGGCACTAGAGCAAGTACAGACCTAAGTGCACCAGGCTGAGGCTGCAGGCCTTTAAAAAGATCCTCATTAAAGCAGCAGATGCAGCAGGCTGAGCCCCATTTCTGGGGTGGCAACTGTGCAGTCCACCATTTCATCAAGTTTTAATAAAGATACCATGTAACCACCTATCCCATGAAACATGGGAAAGTGAATACATGCAGTGAATAGGTTCAATCAAAAGAGACACGTTGGACATAAGCCTGCAGCACTGCCAGGGATTCTAGACACCAAGGGCTCAACAAGTGATCACTGGCTGAACTGACGGATGGAAGAGACATACCTGGATTGCCAGCAGGTCGGTGGCTTCGTCTGGTGACATGTGTTCAAGGGAGAACTCAGCTGAATAGTTACTTAAGATCTGTTTTAAATTTTCTATATCTTCATCACATTCACTAGTCTGTTTTATGACCATCTATAAAATAACCCCCACAAAAGAAGAATAGTTGTCAGGATTTAAGGACTAGATTAACAGGTCATTTCCATTCTTTACCTCCCTCACAAGTTCCAGTCAAATGAGGAAAACATGCATCCATACAGCTTTCAATTTATTCTAAATAGTATGTATACTTAAATTCTAAGGATAGAGAACAACCTTTCCAGAGGGGTCATCTGACCTTCTTGCTTTACTAGACACCAGGGCACCTTGGGCAGTGCTTGGAGTACAAGTCTAACTAGACACACCTGGACACTCAGCTGTGTTCAGTCTAGTGGGCTTCTCCTGGGAAGCATCTTCTGGCATGTTAACGTAAGGTTTCTAGTTTTATGAAGCTACTGGGATGTCGCACACACCATTTAATACACAATTTGTGTGGGGTTTGTCACAAAGAAAGGTGATATGGTGGATTGAGAATGCAGAGGGCCCCTGATTTGAGCGATGATGAATTTTCCCAGTATATTCACTTCCTCATCTAGCCCCTAGAATCTGGGATGTGCATCTTATCAATAAAAAAACCAACGGTTCCAGAGTAGTCTGAGTTTGCAGAATAAGGCAAAACTAACCAGAACGGTATGCAGGGTCTGATGTTAAGAAAGCGGAACTATGTTAAGAGATCTATTTGTGGACTAAGTGATACAATCCAAGGATTGTGAAAGATAAAGAAATGGGCTTCAAAGCATATCTAGCTACTTCTTTGGTTTGCTTAATCATAAAGCAAAATGCCTTTGAAACTACAAAGCTTTTGGCCAACACATAATTCTTCCTTGTATTTTCTTTAATATTTAACCATAATTTAAGCTGTAGGCTGGAAATGAATAACTATGTTCTCTAAAAACACCTGTTCTCCAGGCCTCAACGACAAACTAGATGCCATTATTCCCCTACAAAAGTAATTTGCCTTATTTTCCACAATGAAGGCACTTGTAATATCTAAAGTAGGAATTAAAGGACAAGGGTACCATATTCTAATGATTTTCATTATCATTGGCGTATTTAGCTTTGGAACAGATCAGGGGACATCTGATTTCATCCACACACTAGGAGGAAAATTTTTAGGAGCACAGTTTGATATCTAACTTGGTAACAGAGTCTTCTAGTCTTCCCTTTTCATCTTGTGAAAAGGCTACATTGAAGCATAGTTAAGACTGTTATTTTCTTTTTTTTTGTTTTTTGGGTTTTTTTGGTACGGGGAATCGAACTCGGGTCCTTGCGCTTGCAGGGCAGGCAGGGGAACCACTGAGCTAAATCCCCAGCCCAGGATTGTTATTTTCTTTTCCTGACCAAGAGACCAATAAAGCCACAAAAGATTAAAAATAATACATCAGGCCGGGGATTTAGCTCAGTGGTTTCACTGCCTGCTGCACAAGCACAAGGACCCGAGTTCAATCCCTGGTACCAAAAAAAAAACAAACAAACCAAATTTGATGTTTTTCTTCTCTTTATCCAGTACTTTAAAAATCATACATTGAACGCTAGGTCTTTTTCTCTCTGAGCAGAGTCGATCAGTATCCAGTCCAGAGAGGCTGTGAAGATTAAGACTCGGACCAGGGAGCATAGTAACTCCAGACTATGTAACAGAGTGACTTCTGAAATGTGAATGAAATTTAAAGATTAAGACACCACCATCTTCAAAGGCAGGCTGCAGGATATTTACCAAGAGGGTTGAATGTCTGTGGAACACAAGGCACTTTCAGCAACTTTCTGTTCTTGTGGGAGTGGTCGTTGATTAAGGAATACAAACCAAATACAAAAGACAATTCCTGATTTGAGACTGGTGAACTAACACAACTCAAGAGTAACTGGGGAGAGGCTAAAAGATGTCATCAGTGAGAAGGAAGACATTCCCCACAGGGAGAAATAGTGTCAGTGGTTCGGAAATTCCAAGTCTTATCCTATTTGGATAAGAGTTAACCTCTGCCCAAGGTAAGTCTGCAGCCTTTCAGCAAGCCAGTTCCCCCTGCAGCACCAAGATCCTATTCTACTGACATCCCATGCTGGAGAATAAGATGAGCTCATCCACAGGAAGGGACTGAGAGGGAGACCAAGATTATCATGCAATGATTACTTTCTAGATCAGCTGGCCTCCTGAGATTGCAAACGCCTTGTCCAGGTCTGAATCCCTTCCCAGAGGATTTTACTCTTGCAGTCCTTTAATGGCTATAGAATGGAATTAAATCAACCATAACTATGCTTTAATGTCTTCAACAAGAGCAAGGATAGGAGCAGAGAAAAAAATAACCTTAGCCTGATATGAGCAAGAAGACAGGGTTTTATGTGAAATGCCATCTGCTGGATAATAATTTCTTTCAATTAAAACTGAGACAGAATCGGCTTTTGCTGAATGTCTTCACCCAGCAAGTTGGCTGTCATCACAAACTGCTCACCTTTAATAACTCATTTTGCTCCTGAGTCACATTTTCCAAGAGCTTTACATCCTGTAAAAGCTGACTTGTCCTCTGAAACACAGGCAGTGGGTTCACCTCTGGCTGCGGCAGCCTCAGTTCCACTTGGTAGGACACTATCTCAGCAATGGTTTTCTTCATAGGACGGATATTTTCAAGTATGACCTTAGTATAAAAGAGGCATGGTACGCAATTGGGAAAAGAAAAAACCTTAGGCTGCTGCTAAATTTAATTATTCAAAATTAAAAGATTATACAATATAGTCTATAGTTTCACTTTTAAAAACATTTCTTGCCTCAGGCTGAAAAGCACCGGTGCATTGCTTGGGCTGTGGTTGTTAAGGGAGTCAGGGAAGAATCCCCAGGCTGAAAGCAGCACCAGCACTAGCTGCCGCATTTGGAAAACCCTTTCTTCCTCTCTCTCTCTCTCCTCTTTTTAGAGAACTGTAGCTTAGCTATCTATATTGCCACTGGTCAGTGGGCTACATTAAGGGCAGGTAAGGCATCTTACTTTCAAAGCAAATGCACCTAGCACAGGGCTTCCTACAAAATGTGCATACTGAATTGAACTGTCTTGTTAAATTTTATGAGTCCCAGGAGCTTTAATAACATCTGACCCACAGAATCTGGACTTACTAATAGATTAGAAGAGATTATTCACCTTACTAAACACTTCATATGTAGAATTTCATTTACTCCTCACAACCATCTTGAGAGGGAAAATATTCTAAATGGTATTTCACAGGTAAGGAAATCAGGTTTCCAGAAGTTAGAAGACCCAAGAAAGGATGGGCTGCAAGAGGCAGAGATGGGATTAGAGCCCAGGCCCGGCTGGACCTAAAGCATACATCTCAACCACTAGGCTAAGAGCTGATGTTGGTCTGCTGTTTAGTGTGCCTCATGTATGTCTCAGCTCCTGTGCTAGGGGATCTATATACACTGTATCAGTGTAACACCACAATACCAATGCACAGATATGAAAAACAATCCACCGAACACATATACTCAGAGTCACGCAGCCAACAGCACTGTCGCTGGGGCAAGAAACCCACTTCAGGGTGACTCAGGTAGTTCAGCTCTTGGGTTTGCCTGGAAGGCCAGACTTTTAAAAAAAAGTGACTTGTTGGAAAATTATCTTCACATAAATAGTATTATGAATATGATTTAAAATATATTTATATTCATTCACATCTCTTTCCCAACGTTGTTTTGCCATTATTCTGGCAGACTAATATTTTGGAGTGTGGAGGTGTAGCACAGTGGTAGAGCACTTACCTAGTATGTGTGAGCCCTGGGTGTGATGATCAGAAAACAAAACAATACTAATACTCTGTATCACATCCTATTATTACATATTTTTAAACAGACATAATAAGTATTATGAGAAAATACTTTTAATTATGATCCATGCTTACCTCCCCATGCTTAAGATGCTCTTCAGGTGAAAAGTCAAATATTTCTTTTGATAACAGGATAGTTTTGATTTTTGAAACTTTTTTCTCCATTAATTTTACTTCGGATTCAATAGCAACCACATCCTAGAATTTCAGAAGCAAGAACACACTCATGCAATATATGTCGTACCTCCCTAATCTGTAAAACATCATTTATTGCCATTAATTCTATTCTTATATTTAACCAAAGAATGTTTGAAACTTACACCTCTTAAAAATGAACCGAGGACCTGAGTTCGATCCCAGGTACCAAAAGAAAAAAAAAAAGGATGAACCAAGAACTGAACAGATACACTTTTCATGATTTTCAGTAAAAATGATATTTTACTCTAACAGCATACCACACCACAAAGCACTGCCCATGCCTTGTTGAAGTAAAAAAAATCTTAGAGCCAACTTTCAATTATTCATGAGAACAAAGCTAGTAGGCATCCAAACTCATTTCTTAATAAAGTCTCAACTATTTAAAATCTTTAAAAATTTATCTCTGGAATGTGTTTAAACACCTAAATACAAGTAGTCTGACATTTTAATAATTCCCATAGTTTCAGTGAAATGATAAAGTCATCCCTGAAAAACTAATACAAGGAGCTGGGAAACTGAAAGGGATTTCTTATCATCTCCTAGTAAGCTACTGCCAAGCAGAATGCCACTAAATTACTTTATAATCTACTCAGATTAATTTCAACAATAGGTCACTTGCCAGTAGTTATCTTTCTTTCCTTTTTTTTGGTACCAGGGACCGAACTCAGGTCTTCGTGCTTGTGCAGCAGGTGGCGAAACCACTGAGCTAAATCCCCAGCCCTAGTAGTTATCTTTCTTATCAATGCCAACATCCAGAACTTGGCCAAGAACCTTAAAGTTAAAAATGCTGCAAAAATAAGTTAAAATATGTGCTGCAAAGCCTACACAACGGAGTCAGAGAAGCCCACAATTGTCAGAGAAGCCTTCAGACCTTGACTTTAGAGCTCAGCACAGATGCACCAAAGCACTAGGTGGTACAGATGATATCGAAGATCATAAAAAATAAAAATAGAACAGGGGTTCAAATTATAGCAGTCTGGAGCCATTCACTACAAGGAAAGGCAGAACTTTATGGGTCCTAAGCAAACAGAGTAGTAAGTACAGTGTGACTGTTTAGAGACGTATCTCCAAATCATGAGAAAAAGTTACATTACACTGAACTTGTTTTCTGCATCTAGTATTTAAAAAGGTAAATAAATTATACAGTGTATTATTTTTTTTTTTTTTTCTTGGTACCAGGGATTGAAGTCAGGACCTTGCTCTTGCAAGGCAGGCACAGTGCAACTGAGCTAAATCCCTGGCCCCTATACAGTATATTTTAAGATAATTTCCATCAGAAATTACAGAAGCACTATAAAACTTTGGGGAATAGGTATTAGTATCCAAGAAATAACTTCCACAATTTTTATTTCCTAATGTTATGAGCAAGGTAGAGGGAATGTCCAAAAGGTAAATAATAAAGCACAAAGTATAACTACCTTCACTGGGTGATGATCTTTAAGTGAATGCCTCATGTATTTCAAGCAAAAATAAAACGACTTAAAAATTCTGGGGCTATGGTGTAGCTCAGTGGACAGGGCTTGACAGCATGTGCAAGGTCCTGGGTTTTATGCCCAGCACCACCACCCCACAAATCCAGTGGTGAACACAGCAGCTCAATAAATATTGACAGACTAATTGCAGCACTGGGTATAGAATCCAAGGCCTCAAGTTATGCTAGGGAAGGACTCTAACACTGAGCTACATCCACAGGAGCCCTCCCTTCTCCTGTAATTACTGCTTTTAAATAAATAATATTTCTTTCTCTTTTGACAAAGAGAAAACACTTGATCTTAGCCAAAAGGCCGAGAAGCGATTGACAAAGAGAAAACAATGAGCTTATTTGTTAATTTTTTTTTTTGTTAGTTATACTATGGGATCCAGAGTAAAAAGGACGGAAATGAAAAATGTGGCAGCTTAATGTATATACAAATAATCAGACTGTGATTAACGATATGTCTCTAATTAGCCAAATAAAATACAAGTTAAAAATGACAAATCTCATCTTTATGGTACAAACTTACATCAGCTATTCGCTGGATATGTGGAAGGCTCTCCATTATTTGTTGTTGTAAAGCTACCACTTGACTACTTAGCTCTTGTATGGACTGAATTAAATCGTCAGTTTCAAAAATAATTGACAAATCTTCTAGATCCGTGAAAATTGAACATAAAAGATTGTGTTTCTGCTCAGAATCTTCCAGAGCCATCTAAACAGAGAAAATAAGGGAAAGAGAGCAAGAGAGCGGGCGAGAGAGAGAAATGTCAAGATACTGAAACAAGTTGATTAAAATTTAAATTAGAGAAAAGTTTAATTTGCGACCATTTCAAACTACTGGTTATCTCAATTTTCATAATGAAAACATTGAACTCTATTGTCAGTGGGAGTGGATGACTTCTCTGAAATGCTTGGGACTAAAAGCATCTTGGACTTTAGAATTTTTTCAGATTTTGGAATATCTGCATGTATATATGTAATTAAGTATCTTGATGATGGGTCCCAAGTGTAACGACAAAATACATTATATAACATGTATACTCAGACACACAGTTTGAAGGCAATATTACACAGCATTTTAGTGTGTTTACATTTTGACTGTGACCCACCACATGAGGGCAAAGGTGGAGTTCCCCACTTGTGGTATCAGGTGGGTACTCAAAAAGTTTCAGATTTTGGAACATTTCAAATTTCAGATTTTCAAGTTATGGATGCTCAACCTGTAATAAGAAATGTATTTATTTGGTCTTTATCCTAACTTTCTAGTAGAAAGCTTCTAAAATGTTTGGAACTTCCTGAGTGACAGAGGTAAGAAGAGTATTTTTAGTTGTGCATAAAAAGCCCCTTAAAACATGTAGTAACTTTCAAAGTTAGAGTTTCTCTCCATCCCTTTTTTTTTCCAGTGCTGAAGACCTCAAAATATAAATTTATAAGCCGATTCTAAGATTTATATGGAAATACAAAAGAATAAGGTCAGCCAAAACAAATTGGAAAAAGAACAAAATTGTAGAATTTATGCTATTTGATTTTAAAATTTACTATAAAGCTATAGGAATCAAGACTGTCATAATGGTAAATGAACAGATCAACAGAACAGAAGACAGAACTCAGAAATAGATCCGTATCTATGAGGTCAATTATTTTGAAAAAGGTGTTGGAGAAATTCAGTGGTGAAGATCTTTTCAATAAATGGTGCTGGAATAATCTGGTATCTGTATGGAAAAAAATGACCCTTGAATATTGACCCTTGATTCACACTATACATAACGATTAATGTTACTTAGATAACAGTCTTAAAAATAAGATTTAGTACTATGAAATTTCTAGAACATAACAAGAGGAACTCTTTGTGATCTTGGGTTAAAGGTTTCTTAGATATAGCACACAAAATAACACATAAAAAGAAAATATTATAAGTCACATATCACAAAATATTGTAAATTACATATATATCACAGAAATAGTTTTAAGAATGTTTTACAAATAAATCTTACAACTCAGTAAGACAAGCAATTCGATTTAAAAATGTGCCAAAAATTGGACCCTTCACAAAGAAGTGTACAAATCCCAAGTAAGAACAGTGGTACCTTGATTCACACACTTAATTCTCTCCACAATTTTGGTCACAAACTGAATTGGATGAGAATCGAATCAAATTTCCCCATAAGGTCAACATTGAACCTAACCATTGCATTTGATTTGGTTCTCATCCAATTCTGTTTGCAACCAGAATCATGGAAAGAATCAAGCTCATGAACCAAGGTACCACTGAATATGATTAAGTTCTCAAAATCATTAGTTATTAAGGAAAAGCCATTTAGACCACAATGAAACACATCACTAAAAAGGCTGTATCAAAGACAACATCAAGTGCTAGTGAAAACACAGAGCAACTAGAACTCACTTTGCTGGCAGGAATTAAAAATAATACTCCACATTGGAGAACAATTTTTTTTTTTACTTAAAAAACTTACCACAAATGTCAGGAATCCTACTCTTAGTTATTTATTCATTGACATGAAATGAAATCAAATGAATATCTATGTCCACAGAAAAATTTGTGATTACACAGCTGTACCTTTATCAAAAGTCACCTAACTGCACACTAAAAATGGGTGCATTTTAATACATGTAAATGACATTAAAAGTGGATTTAAAAGCAAGTTAGCTTACTATTTTTACAAAGACAATTTATGTTTTAATAACTCTTAATTACAACAGCAGTATTTGTGAAATCATCTTTACGCTATGCAAACTTACTTCAATGAATGCAATCCAGGAAGAAAGTTATACTATAATTAAAACAAAGTTTTAAAAAGCTTAGCTGAGAATTCTGATAGCTCTTTAAGTCTTTTTTAAAAAGTAAGTGCCAGCAAATGGAAAGGAGAACTATGAGTCAGACAATTATTTTCATTGTAAGGACAAAACGGGATTTTCTCACAGGACTGGCTCCGTGGGAGTTACTCACCAATGGGGTTTCACTAGAATCCATTCCATGGGAAAGAAACCTGCATCTCTGCTCAGCTCGAGCTCATAAATAAAGTCTGGCCACTTAGCAAGTCAACAGCTACAGCGAGGCTTTCACACTTAAACATTTCCTCATTAGAAAGCAGTAAAAGTCTAGCTGCTTTTACCTGAGTTTACATTAGTAGTTTTTAAATTTTTAATGCATCAAAAGCATTTGAAGGGGCTGGGGATTTAGCTCAGTGGTGCCACAAGGTCCTGAGTTCAATCCCAGGTATCAAAGAAAAAAAAAGCAGTTGAGGGGGAAAAAAATCATCATTCCTTTCTCTGGTCCTGGAAAATTCTTCAAAAATGGTGAATCATAAAAGCATTTAAAAATACAAAGATGACAAGTCCTGGGGATGTGTAGAGTCAACCTAAGGTATGGGGGAGGGGGGTCACAAGCAAGAGTAAGATAAGAAGATGAGTGAAAATGCAGTATCTTGACAACTTTTACCACAGGACAAAAATGAGCCACCAATTCTCAAACATCAGGAAGTCTGAAGTCAGCTCACTCAGGAACACATTGTGCTGATACAAAAAGAGATTGGATAGTCTTCGAGGTGTGATTACTGTAAATACTGTTACACAACATTTCCTAGGGGACTCATTCTCATGGCTGACCACATGAGAGAAGGAAAGTACACCTTCAAAATCAAACTGCAGTCCACACTCACTCTGGACCATCCCAGAAGTCATGGCCCCATGCAGGAAAATACTTCCACCTGTTCTGGCTCTGTAAGCTGGCATGGAGCTCTGTAAGCCCCTGTGGAGCCCCAGGAGGGACACGGGATTTAGAATCTCGGCATGTCAAAACTGGAAGGAACTGGGAGATTAGATTTCTACTCCTGCATAAACTAACTGCCACAAATATGGCTGCTTTTAAAAAAGTGTGATCAGGTATGTTCTGCGGGTCGGAGTTCAGGCCCAGTTTGGTGGGTCTTCTGCTCAGGGTGCCACCAGACTGCAACCATGAAGCCATCTAGAGCTCCAGGTTCCCTTCCAAGTTCACTTTGGTTGTCCGTTAAATTTAGCTCTGGGAATTGAGATCCCTATTTTCTTGTTGGCTAGCGGTGAGGGGCTGCTCTCAGCATCTAGAAGTTGCTTTTGAGTGCTAACCCCATGGCCCTCTCACAGTATGGCAGCTTAGCCCTTTCCGTCCAGGAGAACCTATGATTTGCTGCTAGGGAATCCTGTAATTAAGTGATTGTGCTTTCTTGAGAATCCATATCCCATTGCCACAAAGCCAGGTAATATAACCTAATCAATGACATACTTCTATTCCTGCCTGTACTCTAAGAAAGGCAATTATACAGGTCATATACACCAAGGAATGAGAATACTGGGGGTCACAGTAGACTTCCGTGGCTCCAAACCATCAAAGCCATCCAGTGCAGCCTTCTCACTTCACAGATGAGGAAACTGAGGCCCACAAAGAAATAGGCTGAATCATCATAAAAAGTAAGTAGTCAGTAGGACAAAAAGAACCAGATTTGGTCTCCAAGATTCCTATCTAGTGCCTGCCACTGTCCCAAGCTTCCCTCTGCTTCTTGGCATGATTAGCAGTAACACTGTTGTAGGGGTAAGAGGAGAAAAAGATGATGACAATCAGCTAATCAGTGAGCAGGTCCTATCAGGCGCAGGGGACCTCAGCACACACTCACCTGCAGGGTGCTGGCATGGTGACTCAGGGTCTTAGATGAGTCACAGTGAGCGGGATTGGCCAGCAAGCAACTGGTGTTTTCTATCCAAGCCTTGGTGCTCTTCAGAAGATCACTGTACTCCTCCATCTTAACTGTGGCCTGGGAAAGAAACACAGTACCAAGCGTAGTCAGAGGCTGGTTACCAGAGGTGAATGCATCCCCACTGAAGAGTTAGGTGGCTTCTTCTCCTCTGCCAGGGCTGAGGATCCTGGACCACCTACTCCAGGTGAAGGACCTTCCAACATTTAAGACTGATCTTGACCAGAGGTAAAAGGGATTTAAACAGTTCTACCCCAACACTGTTGGCCTCAGCAAGGGTTTCAGATTCGCCTGCAACTAGCCTAGTTCCCAATTATTCCTCATTCTAAAGACTGGACCTTGCCCTACAATATCCCATTTCTTGTAAGACTAGGATCCTGTCCTTTCCTGATTACACTCACAACTTATTGAACCATTGCCCTTATTTAGAATGGAGGCAGAAAGGGACCTTGTTCCCAGACAGCAGTCTTGCTCCTGGCTGGCTTCCTCCTTGGACTCCAGGCAGTGCCTGCCCTAAATTCCCATTACTGGTCTTCATCTACCTGTTGGGAATGATGGCACTATTTGGGCTCCTGTTATAGTCTCACTTTTGGATTTTAGTTTGTGTCTACCCACTCAGACTTCCAGCTTGTACCAGTGCTGGAATGCTGTGCACTCAGTGCTTACCTGAAGCTACTGCCTTCCAAAACTGGTAACTCTAGGGAAACTGGCTACCTCTGAATCTGTATATTTTTGTTTTAAGCCCATCTCAGTACTACCACATGCTATGTAGCTATCATGAGCCCCAGCCCCACCTTATTTAACTGGGAGGTTCTGGATTCTGCTCTTTGGGACACTTGCTGATACCGCTGGAAAGGGATCATCAGGCTGTCCATCCATTCTTGAGCCTGTCCTGGGTCCTGTTCAACGAGGTCCTGAACTTCAGAATCCAGCTCATTCAGCTTGGAATGCCAGAGATCTAGCTCATCCCACATTTTCTAGAGAAGAAAATTGTCAGTCAGGCTGAATGAAGGTGTCATGGTGGACGGGGGGATACCTAGTTTTCACATGGTTATTTGCATTTGGAATTGCTATCAAAACAACATTGTCGGCATACTTCTATTTAGCAACCATTTGTGATCTACACTGAAAAATAATTTTTTTCTGAGTTCTCCTAACTGTAACTAACTCCTAACTATAGGCATCTTGGTTTAAATTAGATGTAGGGGAACAGAAAGACCTGGACATATTTCAGAGATGAATGACAGTAAACAAGGTCAATATAGCCCTAACTTTCCAAAAGCTATGAGATAAACATTACATTTTAAAAGGGCTGTACGGGCCAGGGATTTAGCTCAGTGGTTACAGCGCCTGCCTCACAAGCGCAAGATCCTGAGTTCAATGCCCGGTACCAAAAATAAAAATAAAAATAAAAAAATAAAAAGGGCTGTTCAAGGGGCCGGGGATTTAGCTCAGTGGTTTCACCGCCTGCTGCGCAAGCACAAAGACCCGAGTTCGATCCCCGGTACCAAAAAAAACCCCCAAAACAAAAAAGAGATGGTCTTGCTGCTGCCATTTTAAATAAATAAAAGAATGCCAGGGAAAAAGGGCTGTTCAAGGGGATGTGGTGCTATACACCTGTATTCCCAGCACTTGGAATGCTGAGGCAGGAGGATTGTGTGAGCCCAGGAATTCAAGATCAACTGGGATAACATAGCAAGACTTTGTCTACAAAATAATATAAAAAGGGATATATATATTCTAGAAAACAATTTATTAAGTGTGAAAATAAAATTAACAGCAAAAAACATGTCTGCATTAACTCAGAATTAACATACAGGCAGAAAAATCCAGCTGCAGGCCATTAGCAATGATTCAAGAAACTAATAGGTTAGATTCAGTTTTGAACTTGTCAAAGGTAAAATATTCAAATCTTAATATTTAATATAATTTTGAGAAACAGGAAAATCTGACTTGGTAAGCAGGTTCTTCTACATAAGAGCCAAGACTGTATCCAATAGTGAGCCACCTTCTGATCTATTTTTTAAAATTCCCAAATATATTAGCGTATTTCCTTAAAATGTAGATGCAATTCAGAACCCATATGCTGGCATCTGTTTAGGTATTCAGAGGTAGAAAATTATGTATCTGTACAGTTTTACTTAAGATCTTATTTCCTAAGACATTTTATAGGGAAATCAATTTGGACTTTTTATTTTCCCTTTTTTCACCTTGGGAATCTAAAGAAAAATTGTTAGTATGTTTCCTACTCTGTTGCATTATTTTTGTATCAGTCTTTCCAAGATAAGGCTCTTACTTTCCCTTGTCTGAGGAAATTCCAGCTTATACTCAGAGGCCTTCAAAGCAGCCTCCCTTCTAGCTGGAAGGTGGCCTCTCAGATGGGGCTCTGAGACTCTAACTCCTGACTGAGGTCAGGAGGAGGAGTGGACCTGAAACACCACATGCGGAAGGGAGTTAAAGGAGGTTGTTACCTTTTGAATTTCTTGGGCTTTCTCAATGTTTTTGGTTTTCTGCTGCAACATTTTTTCAACCTGTTGAAGCCCACTGTTAATTTCCTCTCTTTTCCTGCTCATCACACAGGATGGGGAGTTCTTCAAGGCTTCACTGCACATCTGTTACAAAGGGGGAGTCACAGTTGGGTTAGAGAGAGTTTCTGCTCTCTCTTCCAGAGTTCAAACCACAAAAGTGGTACTCACTGCTCTTATTTGTAAAAGTGTTTAAAGTTTATGGGGAAAGAATTCCAAACTGTATCAGATAATGCCTTAGTAAGAAGGTAGATTAGCCAACTAATAAATGGCAGCTGTTTGCCTGACCTTCTAAATATAATCTAGAAATAAAGTGATTGATTTAAATAACAAAAATTGCATGCTGTGTTGGGCAAGGCTACTGAGTGGACTCTGAAACATACCCCCATGGATCAAATGATAGGAGAGAATTTCTGTGGATAAATTATTTATTACACAATCTGTCCATTTTATGAGAAAATTCTCGGCACAGATCTGTTTTCAATAAAACGAAAGATATTCTCAAGCCAACTTAAAAAAACAAAATGAAATTTCCATCATAATATTCACCTAGGTGAAACAACCTTCTAAATGTGGATATTTCTTGATGATGCAGGGCTTAAATTTTCTTTGTGCGACTGTTTCTAGTATGTGTTTACCCAGCAACCAGAAATCTAGCTGCTGAGCAGTTTAATTTTTTAAAAAATCTAAATGACTTGTGCTAGGAAAGATGAGTGCTGAATGTATCATTTTGTCAAATACCTGATTAGTTTGTGTTGTTTTTTTTTTTTAAACTATGTTAATAGGCTTTCTCTAAGCAGCCACTAAAGAATCAAATAATACTACATGCTTTTGTAGAATCCTTTTACTCCTCACTCTATCTGTACAACCACTGAGACTAAAACCATCCCATGCAGATAAGCACACTGACACAGAAACTGAAACACACTAAAAGCTAAAGCTAAGGTCACACATAGCAAGCCAGGGGCTGAACTTGGCCAGACTCCATTCCAGGTTCTATTCTCATCACATTGTTGATTCTTTCATGTCATGTTTTTATTCCACACACCATTCCATAGTCAAGATTATTTTTCAATCTCCCTTTGATCCCACATTATTTGTTTCTTGCTGCGGGTATAACAAATACAAAATGAAGTCTTCTGATAATCGAGGCAGTTACTCTACTGATACAAATGCAAACCATTTAGTTACTTAGCAGAGATATTCGGGGGAGACTAAGTAACCATCTGAATACACACAATAATACTGTGTCTGCAGCCTGGATCCTGTATCCTGAACTACCTTAAAACCAATTGTACACACAAAAAGTCAGCTGCTATTGGTTACAACTATACAAGTTCACAGTGGAAATATTCAACCTTAATCCGAAAGGCTGGTTACTATTAATTGACTTTGTAGGGCTTTTTACACAAAGTATTCATGAGAATAACATTTAGTTCCTCTCAATACATTTAGTAGGCTCTTAAAAACAAAGCCAATAGTATATACTTCTCAAGAAAGTATCTAACAGGTTTTCTTGTATGTAAATCAAAATGTTTGTTATATTAGGAGGTGACATGTTTTTTTTTAAATACAGAATAGATTTTCCTAAAAAAAAAAAATCTGTCATATAAGTCAATGACAGATTCTAGCAACTAGTCTGAAATATGATTTTTGGTATATGGACTGAAGATCTGTATTGTTTATAAAGTTATAAGTATTCTAAACTTCAAAAAAAAATATAAAAATCCTCTGTGGCTGCTGGACAAAACAAAATTTTGTTCCATTGGGTTTGGACTGCCTTTTAAAAATTCAATAAAATGGTCTTGCTAAACACCTATCTGCAGTACTATAATATATTCCTACCCTTGTTCAGATCTGCACTTTGAAGTACAAAGATCTGCCTAGGTGTGTCTTGTGAGAATTCTGTTAGTATCATAATTAGGCAGATACTATAAGTTAAGTATTATTTCTAGTGAGTTGTGAAATCTGTATTCTTATTCTTATTTTTTGTTATTTCAAAATGTTTCAGAATATTTTAAAGCATGTCCAAAATATTTTAAGTTTCTGCAGTGAAAAAAATACTAATAATCCAAGTAAAAGATAATGTATAACTTTTTTAAATGGAAGAGAAGAAAAACTAAGCATGCAGACAAGTAAAATATACACATAGTCTAATATTCTGTTATCTAGGGGCCGGGGATTTAGCTCAGTGGTTTTGCCGCCTGCTGTGCAAGCACAAGGACCGGAGTTCGATCCCCGGTAACAAAAAAAAATAAAATAATATTCTGTTATCTATGTCACTTACCCAGAGTGCCTTTTTTTTGGTACCAGGGATCTAACTCAGGATCTTGCGCTTTCGAGGCAGGCATGGTGCCACTGAGCTAAATCCCTGGCCCTACTTAGGGTACCTTTATCTCAGCATTTAATACACGAAACTATCATTTAACCAAACTCTATAAAACCAGTCAGAGCTGAAATCAGGGCAAATGCAAAAGTAACATTAAAAGATGTTTCTTCTTTATAGTTATTCAACTCCAACAATTACAATCTGAATACAAACATTATTATTACCTTCTCATCTATGTCTTCTAACATTTTTCTGCATTCTTCCACCTGGGATTCAACCTCAGTGGGGACTATGGTGTACATCTCAGAATACTTGATTCGCAGTTCTTCCATAATATTTCCAAAAGTTAGCTTCCCTTTCTCAACAAAGCTTTGAAGCTCCTAAAAACAAGAGAGTTTCCATACTCACAGGTCTGGGAGGAAAGGTTTAGCTCTAAAAAGTGAAAGCAACTTTCCAGCATGTCCTCATGATTTAAATAAGCAAACCCTGAATGACAAAACCTCACTATTGATACAAGCTGATTAACCCAGAGAGATACCCGGTTTAGACAGATGATACTTTATAATTTGTAAGAATTAAACTTGATATCTCTTCACTACGTCAAACCATTGTTGCAAAAAAGACATTACAACATCCCCCCTGCTTCTAAAGTGCCTCTAGGATTTAACTGTATCTCAGCTTCAAGATTTAAAAAGCTACAAGTAGCAAAAAGTTTCAAAGAAGTTTTATGGTGCTGTTATTAACTTGTTGCTATTTCTACTTCTTCCTACATTATCATCACAATGAGTCAAGGCCACTAAAAGCCTGACGCTAAAGCAAAAGTGTCTGTTTCATGTAATTAGACAGCTCAGGAGAGCTCAGCTCCTTTCAAAAGGGAGAGTTCCAATTCCCTGCAAAGAATGTAGGTTCTAGGAGATAAAAAGAAACCTGAACAAACAGCCCATTGGTTGTGGCCTAAAAATAAAATCTGATCTACACTCTCCTGCAGTAATTATATAAAGGAGAAACTCATTTGTTTGGGAAAGTTTCCCAAAGATCAAGTGGAAAAATACTTCTTGACTTTCCTTTGGCTTTTTTGTTGTTTGTTTTGTGTACAGTAGCCTTTCGGTAGCATTATTTGTGTTAATGGAATGAGTCACCATGCTGAAGAATGATTACAATTTTAAATGGCTCTGCAACGTGTTGGTGCTTTCTTTTTCTGAACAAGTCTGGAAAGGGAACAGTAAAGCACAGAGCCACTCAGTCACGGGTGGGGCTGGAGGCGTGGGTGTCATCTGTCACCCACGCCCCATCCAGGAGGAAAGGTCTCCATTCAGAGCAAGGCTCTGGTACTGTCAGTTACGTTTCCTTTCTCAGAATGAATAACTAAAAGCTCTGGCTCACAGCAGCAAGTAGCTTTTAAATACACTGCCAGATGTCTTTTGGGGGGGGGGTACCGGGGATCGAACTCGGGTTCTTGCGCTTGCGCAGCAGGTGGCGAAAACACTGACCTAAATCCCCGGCCACAGATGTCATTTTTTTACTACTGCCACTGAACTGGGATGACAGGAGAGATCATTCTGAAGAAATAAGTACCCTCGTGACCCAAGCTGTGGACACAGCCCCAGTCAGAGGTAAGATGTCAGGTCTGACTAAAGAAGGGGTCTAACATGGCACCCACGAGGGCTCTGACACCACTGTTCACCCAGCACACCTGAAACTTGGCTGGAAAAGGTCTGCTTGGTGCAGACCTGCCTCTCTCGCAGCCTGGTCGTCAATCACACTTATTCCCTAGATTTTCCCTGGAACATTTCTTCAGCCCTCATCAGTGGGTCACCTTTGCCCCAAGGACTCTGACTACAAGACTGAGGACCATTATCAGCCACATTCACTAGCTCACTCACCTCGAACTGCTCTGCCCTTTCTGGGTGGCCCTCTGGGGCCATATTTTGGAAAGAAGTTGTGCTCTTTTGAAATGAATTTTTCAAAGCAATGATTTCTTTTGTGAAGGAAAGTCTTTCCTGGATTTCAGTCTGTATCAGGTCCTTACTGCTTTGAGCTTTCTGAAGAAGCCTGAAATAAAGCATCAAAATATAATTATTTCTGTGAAATCGTTTTATTTCAACAATTAACAAAATATCTGAATAGCACACAAAAAGGTGACTTCCAATGATTTCAATAAAATTAGTTCTCAATGACTTATACATCACATACACAAACGTGTGTCAAGCCCCATTTGCCTTTTTCTCCTCAGCTGAGCCCAACTGCTGTAACAGTAACACTATTTACAGGCCGCAGAGTAGGGAAAACATCTTTCCCAAGAGCTCCTTACTTGCTAAGTATTTGTGATATACTAATAGACATACTGGGTCCAGTCCCACAGCCCTTGACCAATACAGGGCTTCTACCTGGCTGTTCAGCTGTGTCCTTTATTATATCTCTTATTAATAAACCAGTAAAAGCATTTCCCTGGGTTCTAGGAGCTGCCCTAGCAAATTACTGGAACCTGGGGAAGGTGTCGGAGGATCCTCCAGTAGCCATTGTGCCACAAGCACAGTGACAACCTGCCGCTTGCAATTGGTGTTCAAAGTGGGGATAGCACTGTGGGTCTGAAATCTCTGAGCAATCTCCAGGAGTTTGAATGGAACTGCAGGAAATCCAGCTGGTGTCAGATGGAAACCCACACTTATCTGGTGTCAGAAGCATTTGCTGAGTGACTCTGAGACAGTAAAGTTTTTTCTTTAAGAGCATTTCTAGCCACAAATTATTATCCTTTGACCCAATATTTCTATTTCTTGGTATCTTTCTCAATGATCTGCTCACAGTCCCAGGAATTCTGACACAAGAATATTTATTGCATGGGTTTTATCAAAGTAACAGAATTACATATAATTTTTAAATTCCTTATTAAGAGCTTGGTTAAATAAATGATGGCATATTCACATGGTAGATTATACAGATGATAATGATGGCATTGGAAAACAAATGTAATATGATGATAAATTACTCAGAAGAGAACAATAGTAGTATGCTCTCCACTTGTTTAAAAAGAAATTCATAAGTAAAAAAGATGAGACTACAAAAACCAAAATGAGAATAAAAGTACTTGGCAGTCACTGTTGCTGAATGAGATTAAATGTATTTTTAATGCTATTCTTTAAGATTTTATACATTGTCTAACTTTCCTATAGAAAACCAGTAAATATTACAAAGGAACTTGAAGGATATCCCCACTCAGTAATATCAGAATAGAAAATCAGCACTTGTTTTAATTATAATTATTCACCTGTTTCATCTCTTTTCGTACCTATCAGCGTCTACTCAATTCTGTAGTATCATTTGTCATTATTCTGTAATATTTCTACATTTTCTCAATTAGGCCTTTTTAAAACTTAAGAGCCAGGACAGTCAAGCACATTTTCTCACAGATCTTACCTGTCGCATCGTTCCTGCATGGACCCAATCTCCCGAAGCGCAGGCACCATTTCGGCAGCCTGGGCGCCTTCGGGGACCACCCAGATGCCCGATATGCGCTGAAGAAGCAGAGCCAGCAACAGCCGCTGCTGCTCCACGCTCTCCTCAAACTGGCACATGGTGTCCAGCAGCTCAGAGAGCTCCTCGGTGCCAGCAGCCTCTTTGGTTTTAGGAATTTCTGGGAGTTCCTCTTGAAGATTTTCTAGAATAATTGCTTCTCGTTCAATCTAATTTGATAGCAACAACAACAACAACAGAGCAGAAGTAAGTAGCACATACTCTTACCATGACTAGGGCCTGAAATGCTCCTCTACAGCCATGTTTGGATACGCTTTCTGTAAAGGGTTCCTAATGCCATTTCCCAGTTCAAAGTAACACATTCTCCTAAGCTGGGAATGGTACCCCTCTGCTGTCAGCTCCCATTTGATGCTCAAGTAAAAGTGCAATTAAAATGAAATGTTGCTGTTGTGGGCTGAAGGAAATGTTGAAGATTTAAAGTAATTTATTTCCCTTTCAGGTTTCTGTTGGGTAATGTCTGGAGACATCCATGAATTAGTTAAACAAGCCCACAATACTGCTTCCAGTGTAAGAGGCCGGGCAACCACTGGAAATGAAAATTTCTGCAGGTCTCTTTTCCTTCCCTCCGATCTTGGTCTGTTCCGTAGGGAAGTCCAGGCTCCTACTACTCTGACACCAAGGGGAAAGCAGCTGGAACGACTGGACCAACTATGCATTCACCATCCTCTGGTATCAACTGGAAACACATACCTTACTTCAACACATATCTGGAAACTAGGGATTCCACAGCCCTGAACAAAGACAAAGAAAGTCTCAAAGGCCCCTAAATCCAATGGTTCTTATGCTCCTGCAGGAATTCTCTGGTCCTCCCTTTGGCTGTACCACTAACCTATCCTATTCTGCCCAGGATGTGTTAGTCCTCTTGCTCAGGTCTGGTCACACATCTGCCATCAGAGAGCACTGCACCAGTGAGCTACACTTACACTGACAGAAATGAGCCCCACCACAGCTCTGCTGTCTGGTGTAAGGTTGGTGAGTGACTGAAGAGGGAAACCCAAGAGGGAGAACCTTTTTGTGCATGCTGGGTACGGAACCAAGGGCCTCACACACACTGGACAAACACTCCCATTGCACTACATCCCCAGCCCAAGAACAAGTCTTTTTAAGATAATAATTTTACTCAAAAGCCAGGCAATTCTTCATCTTGTGAATGGACAAACTGTGCTCCACCCAGCCAACAGAATCCTACTCAGAAATAAATAACAAATGAAATACTGATAAACAGCAGCAAGAGCAAATCTCAACTGCATTATTCTTACTGAAGAGAAACCAAAGGATACAGGCTGGATGACTTCATTTATGATATGTTCTGGAAAAGGAAAAATCGAAAAAAAAAAAAAAAAAGAAAGAAAAGAAAAAGAAAATCTACAGGAAAAAAAATGGATTAATAGTCATCAGGAGCTGGAGGCGATGGACCATAAAGGGATATAGGGGAATTTTTACGGAACATGAAAAAGTCTCAAATCTTGATTTTGATGATGGTCATGTGATTAAATTTATGTGTCAAAGTTCAACAAACTTTATGGTAAATTTTGCTGGTTTGGGGACAAAGACAGTCCTCCAGACAGTCAAATAGATGTCAAAGATTATGCATGCACTTTGCCACCTACAACAGGTTCTGCAACTCCTAATGATTTTCCTTGTACTTAGAATTCTAATAAAATTGCCCATAAAATATTTATGCACACAGTCAATTATAAAGAAGAGTCAAAAGGGAGAAGGGGCTGTGTAGGTGTGCACACCTGTAATCCCAGCACTCTGGGAGGTGAAGGTAAGAAGATCGAATGCTCAAGCCCAGCCTTTGGCAACTTGGTGACTTAGCAAAATGTTAAAATAAAGTAAAGGGGATGTAGCTCAGTGTGAAAACCATGGGTTCAATCTCCATTACAAAGAAAGAAAACCGACAAGGTGAGCCTCTCAGGCTGCTGTACCAGCACCCCAGAGTGACGGTGAGCTGTGCGGGCAACAGCACACACAAACACACCCCCACCCCCTGCTTTGCTGAGCCATTACCAAGATCCACACCGCAGAGTGGCGGGGGTCATAAAGGACATTGTTCTGAGCTTGAGAAGACAGAACAGACATGAACAACAGAAAGAGGGGTTCCCTAAGGCCCCTTGATGAAAATTAAAGCCCACTGGAAAAGTAAAGAAAATCTCTGCAATAAAGGCACACCAGACCACCTTAGTTGGGGGAGCAGCAGTGTGGACCAGAGCAGCCTGGCTGCAAGCAGATCCCAGCCAGGGCTCCGCCTCGACCCCAGAGGCTGGGGCACACTGGCCCAAGCCAAGGGCCTGCTGAGAAAAGAGCTGCACAGGCACACAAGCAACAGCCAGAGGTTTGCCCTGATACCATCAATAAGTACGGGAGACCCTGGCCAGAAGCTTGCTCACACAACAGGAACTGGAGTGCATAGCTTCCAGCTAAAGACCCTCCCAGACAACAGCTACATAGGGGCCCTAGCCAGTGGCACACCTAGATACCATCCCAAGTGTGCACAGGCCTCAGCCAGAAGCCCACCCAGACAACAGGTCAGCTCAGGGATCCAGAAGGCCACCTTTCTGAATCCAGGAATTAGTGTACTGGTGAGCAGCAGAGAAAAGGCAGCTCTGTGGCTTGCTGAGAATTGAAGACCCCTGGGAGAGCAAAAAATTTCCTCAACAAAGGCACAGCATGCTGCATCTGTTGAAATGAGAAGACATGTAAACAAGCCTCAAAACCAGACTTCCAGATCACTTAAGGCAACCCCAAAGGAAAACGAGATGGAACACTCTGATATTCAATCACCTGGACTCCTTGAACTGGCAACAAAAGAGGATCTGGAAAAAATGAAATTAGAAATAATTTCTCAGATAACAGCAGAGATTGTACCCACAGTGTAAGACATGATTAATAAATCTAAAGCTGACACAGATTAAAAAAAAATAGACGAGCTGAGGAACATGATGGAATCCTAACATAGGAAACAAATGGAATCCACAAAACAGATGCAAACAGATCTCCAGGAGATTAAAAACTCCACTGAAAAGTTTACACAGCAGAATGAGACAATGTGAGGACAGAATTTCAGATATAGAATATAAGATGGCAATTAGTGACCAGGAAAAAGAAAAATTGCTTGCAAATAGTAAGGGACCATGAGAAATCAGTCCAGCAGCTGCTAGACAATGCAAAGAAGAATAACATAAGACTGATCAGAGTCAATGAAGAAACAGGAGAGAGTGCAGATGACATAAAAAAACTGTTCACAGAAGTGATGGCAGAAAACTTCCCAAGCAGGGGAAAAGAACTTGACATACAGATAAGGGAAGTATATAGGACTCCAACTAGCCATGATAAAAAAAAAAAAAAAAATCTACACATAAGCATATAATACTTAAGATTCCAGAAACCCAACAGAAGAACAAAATTTTACAAGCAGCTGGAGAAAAGAAACAAATCACATACAAAGGAAAGCCCATCAGAATCACAGCAGACTTCTCAACACAAACCATCAAGGCAAGAAGAGCTTGGAGTGATGTATTTCAAGCCCAAAAGGAAAACAGCCTCCAACCCAGATTGACCTACCCTGCAAAACTATCTTTCAAAATGGATGGAGAAATAAGATACTTTTATGACAAAGAGCACCTTAGGAACTTCATGAATACCAAACCAGCACTCCAAAAAATTTTAGACAATATCCTAGGAAAAGACAATGAAGATCACAACCCCAGGAAGCCCAGCAGAATGAATCCATCGGGCATGACAAGAAATTAAACACAAAGGGGGAGAATCCAACAAAAAGAAAAAGTCATGACAATGATAAGTCAATATGTATCAGTTATAGCTATCAATGTTAATGGTCTCAATTCACCAGTCAAAAGAAATACACTGGCAGAATGGGTCAAGAATTAAGATCCAACAATACGCTGCATAGAAGAAATGTACTTAATTTAAAAAGAAACTAATAGTATGAAAGTTAAAGGGTGGAAAACAAAACTCCATGCGATAGGAACCCCCCAAAAAGCAGGAGTAGCTATCCTCTTTGCAGATCAAGTGGATTTCAAAACCTGAAACACTTCTGGTCTCAAGAATTTCAGAGAAAGGACAGTCAACCTGTATGTACAAATCTATTGTGAATGTGTGTTTTCATTTCTCTTAAGTAAAAACTTAAGAACAGAACTGTGGGTTAACAGTAATACAAGAAATTTCTATATTGTTTTCCAAAGTGGTTTTATCATTTTACATTCACATGAGCAGTATTAGAAAGTTCTAACTGGTTCACACTTAAGCTGACATTTATTCTTTCAAAACCTTTAACTTAATCTCCCTAATGAGTGTATAATACAATCTTGTATATTGTACTGATTAGTATTTTTCTGATTCTAGTGTTGCACACCTTTCCTTATGCTGTGCTGGCTATTTATCATCCTCTTGTGTCTACTTTTTAATTGGGTTGTCTATCAGTGAGCTGCAAGTGCTCTTTATATTCTAGTCATAGGTTATATGTATTATAAGTATGCTCTGGTTAAGGACCACTTTTCATTTTCTTAACGATGTCTTTCAAACTTCTAAATTTTGAAGGAATCTTATTTATCAATTTTTTCTTTTATACACCATGTTTTTTGTATCCTAGGAAATTCTTGCCTACTCTAAATTCATGAACATTTTCCCTTATAATTTCTTAAAGTTTTATAGCTTTAGTCTTTCATATTTAGGTTCACAGATCCTTTCAAGTTATTTTTATGTATGGAAATAAAGGGTTGAGGTTAATCTTTTACACACAGATACCAGGTGTTCTAGTACCATTTGATGAAAACATTATCTTTTCCTCTGCTCGAGTTGAGTTTATGTTCTATAAAATGTTAATGTTAAATAATCTTTCAAAACTC